TCGAAAGTTTCCAAAATAATTGACTTTTTATTTCAATTAGGGATGTTTGGAACGGAATTTGGAATTCCGAAAATTCCGAAAATTCCGGCCTTTTTCGGAATGATATTCCGACCGGAATAATTCCGAGAAAAATTTGGAAAGAAATTCCGGTCGGAATAATTCAGTAAGATTTTTTCGGAATCGAATTCCGACCGGAATTTTTCCGGAGCTTTTTGTTCGGAATCTAGATTTTCTGACTACGGTCCGTCGGAAGAAAATTTGTTTGCAGGTCTCGAACTGAATTTGCTTTTGATAGTATTTTGAGCTGCCGAAATCTTTATTTCAATTTTCACCAGTTTTTGCCGTTTTTTTGTGATGGGAAAATGGAATTTCTAATTTAAAACTTGAATTTTAAAACAAATTCCGAAATTGCGACAATTTTAAAATCGGAATATCACGAAATTCCTAAATTCCGAATTTTTAAAAATCGGAATATTCCGAAATTCCGAAAAATTCCGAAAAGGTCATTCCGAACATCCCTGATTTCAATTCATCTTGTTCTCTTGGGATTTTTTTCATTCAACGAAACTGTAAAATTCAAATTACTGTAAGACCTTTAATAGAAGGTCCCTCACACTGTCAATTTTGAGCAGAATTTTCTTGGACCCTATGCAAGATATCGAAAGTTTTAACTGACCAGAAATTTTGATATAATGATAAAGAATTTATCAGTTGACCTTTTTGATCTCTTTGACAGAAACTGAAAAAATGAGTGTTCAATCTTTTTCAAATCTACCGAGTTTTAGAATTCCAGAAAATCGAAAGCAATCTGATTCCTCAGATGACTCATTTTGTGACCACACCTTTTCACCTTTCGCCTAACTATAGAAGAACATCTGAAACATGTTTACAATGTTGGAAATTCAGAAGAAATCGTTTTATGTGACGCGTTTGATTCAATTCACCTGTCCCTTGCAAATGTTATACTCTCTATCCCGGGGTTTTGTTATTTTGTGTTCTAGAAACTTTTTTGATACATAGAAGAGTGGGGATCCTGGAAATAGCTGAAAATATATCAATGAGAATATTGGATGGTGTCTTCAAGGAATTTATTAAAATTGTTTTGCACTTTTTGAGATCTCAGTGGGACAGTGCTCAGAAATGTTCTTGAAAACAACACGCATTGCACTAATCAAAGGTCTTGCTGATAAAACAGGTCATCATATAAATCATATTTGGCTCATTTTCAAATCAAGATTTTCTGATTTCTACCAGACGCAAAGTTGTGCTTTCTGTCGCCCCGAATGAAAGGTGTTTTCTTTTTTTAAGTCAGGTTCGAAAGGTTTATAGTTTTATATTTCTCTTTTTCTTGACTTTTATCTCAATTAGGTTGAAACGGTTCGAGAACAATTCGTGTACTCATAACAAAATGCTTTTTAGATTTAGACACGATTAGAGCTCATCCGGATGATACATAAAGCCTTTTCTGGAATTTTCGAAAGGCGATAAAAGGTTAATTTTCGTCGAATTGCCTCCTGAAAAACTGTGGTCTGATCCGGATTTTGTTTTCTAATGTCAATTACAACTACGAACTACACTTCATTTTCTCTGATTCAGATTACTGTTTTATATGAATGATATCACATGAAAAATCCAACTTTTGATCAAGCACACTCCTTGTAAACAATCAAAGTTGTTTCCCTGAACAAATGTGATTCATCTAGAACAAAGTTGATCATTTCAAGAACCATGACTAATCCTTTTTTGAAATCTGATTTTCTGGGAAGCAAACTTTGGGAAAGATTTAAGTAAAGTAAAAACACGAAATGTAACAGATCCACAGAAAGTAACATACTTTTCACAGTAACGATAGATACAGATGAAATGTAACGAGTACGTTTGGAGTTTTTGAAAAACGTCTTCTGTTCTTTATCTTATTTCTACATGTCGTATTAGAAAAAAACTATTTATTTGATGTATTTCTTTCATTTTCATTTCGTATCCGAAGTTATTTTTGAGATCTTTCCGAAATAGTTTACAAGTCTCCAGAATTTCCTTATATTAAAAAAACTTCTACAGATTTTATTGAGCCGTACTTTTCTGAATTTTTTCTTTCAAAGACATAATTGCCCCTTATTAGGCCTAACAGTTTTCATAACTTCTGAATATGATAGTCTTCATAATTCCTGAATATTAAAATTGGTTAGCTGTATTTTTAGAAATTGACATGCCGTTAATCCTCGTTCAGAAGGGCCCCTCTAATTGAACTACCTCCCTAGAGTCTCCACGAAAAATAGAAGTTGTTCCTCTATTTGAAGGGCCCGTTTGTTTGAAGCGCCCTTCTCTAATTAAAGTGCCCCCAATTTTGTGTTGTTTTTTGTTTTGATTGAATTATAGGTGTCTTTTGTTTTGTTAAAAAGAAACTGTTGATAGAGGGACAACTACAATTAAACAGTTAGGCGATTTCCCTCTAATAGAATTGCCCTCCTCAGCAATCTCACAAAAATTAAAAGGGTCAGACTTTCTGATACAGGTTTTACGGTATATGGAAAATCTAATTCAGCAAATCTTGAAATACTGTACAAACTCCCTCCTATGCTACCGAATATAATGTAATTTCCGGTTTTTGTTATTTTCTAGAACTTCGTATCCACCTGAGAGAGTCCATGTGACAAAGAACCCAACTCTATCTCACTGTCTAGGCGTCTACCATCTTTGTTTTTCATCTAATTAAGTTATGCTTCCTTCTGAAGTCTCCCACGTCAAACAAGCCGACACGCCCGACGTAGCTTCGGAAGACGTCAAGACCATCGGAAAAAATGAGTCAACTTGAAACAGACTATAGCTAAAAAACACACCATTTTCATTTCGTTTAAATCTTCTTCGAAAGGATGGAGACTTTTCGTTTGCAGGGGGAAAAGCCTTCATGTAGATATTACAGCTCAAGATTAGCTCAAAAGACATCATTCATAAAAAGGGAGTAGACGAAGATTAGATTGATCCTTTGAATCCAATTAGTTTAAGGAAGTTCTTTGGTTTCTCATGTTGTGTGGATCAGTGATTGAACTGAGTTGGATTTAATATTATTTGACTCCAAAATACTCGCAATTGGTGAAAAATTACTTTGAGAAAAGGACCTCGATGTTTGAATAATTTTATCTTATCACCTGCTGTCTTCACTTTTGTCCTAGGACAAGAGTATACTTGTACTGCTTCATTAGCCATTCACAATAAGATTTCTTGATCTGGGTCCAAAATTTTCATTCTTTTTTTGTGGATGAATTTGATTTTTTGTGATTAGTAAAATCTAATAAAGTGAGACTGGATCCGTACCATTTCAAGATCCGCCTTAAATCATTGATAAATTTCAACCAGATTATTGAATTTGCTTCCTAATAATTAAATTTATCTCCGCTCAGACTCACTCAAATTTGTTTTAATAATATGTATCTGGTCTGCCTTTAAACCTAATATCTCAAAAACAGATTACTAGTTGGTTAGGAAAAATGTGCTGAAAATTTGATATCAAGATCAAAATGTTGTTTTTCTCTTCTTCCAAACATTTACTTCCTAAAAAGTACACAATAGGGGGGAATGTAAAAGTTTGTATTCAGAAAGATTCGTAGCTCGCCAAAAAATGTATAGTTTTTCTTTCAAATTTTCCCAGAGACAAAACAACCCACCGACAGACGCAAATGCGTATTTTTTCTCAGCGATCCCCGCGCTAGCCACCCACCTAGATTTGAGATTAACTTGTTATCCATTTTCAGAACGCCAAAACACATACTTGTTCAATTTCTCGGTGGGGCAAGATAATACAATATTGTGTCGGAACATAGTATTTATCACGTGGCTTTTTGGGTTGTCTAGTCTACAGGTTTTTCGAGAAACCTGTTATCAGAGATATGCTGGTAAGGGAGATACAATGATCATAGCTCACTGTTGTTGTTGTTGTTTTTTTATTAGCCTTGTTTATTCGCGTCGTTTTAAACCGTCTTGTGTTGAAATCTTCTTAGAACCCACCAAAGTGATCGAGCGTGTTTCAGAGAGAGTATTTTGATGTTCAGATAAAAGGGAATCAGGTCAGCTCGATGGGAATTCTTAGCGAGATTTCCCGTAATAGCTAAACTAGGTAGGAGCCATAGATGAAGCCTAAAATTTCATATTTCAAAGGATCCTGTCTAAACTCAGTTTTCAAAAAATCTTCGATAGTTGAAGTCTCGCATCTGGCGGGTTGCTTCATTTTTCGGAAAACTACGGTAAATGTTCATCGAAAAGTGTGATTCATGACTTGATTAGACGCTATTTTAATCACTAAATCAACAGCGTATAGCTTTATCTAGGTTATCTGCTGGAAATTGTCCAGGCCGAAAGATATATATCTTTTAGAATCTAAAAAGTTTGTGATATTATCATTCAGCTTAATTTAATCAATTTAGTTCATCGAAGGGTAAATACACTCATCTTATACCACCCATCATCTCAGAAGAACAAAATGGAACTATGTGAGAACATCCTGACATTGTTATTTAAAAAGGGGAAATACTCCCAGTCTTCCCCGAGACTAATCTTTTGCTCCAAAAAGTCCAAAATGACAAACATCACTAAAGGAGAAGAAGAAGAAGAAGTTCTTAAGTTCTGCCCCTCCCCTTGCAAATCCTTTTCCCTTGCGTGTGAGACCAGACAAACCAACCGAATTATCAAATTATCAGTCATATCAGGCTTCCTTTTAACATTTTCCACATTTTCACTTCCGACCTCTCTACACATTTTGTTCCTCCCGTCCCAAAAATGTTTTCTTCCACTACAATATTTTCCGTAGAAAGTGTGATTTTCTGATTCATTTACGTTAAGAGTGACTCCAAATTTTACACTCCACGAATTTTGAAGTCGCGGATAAAAGATACATTTTGAAATATCATGCGTTATCTAGAGGTACTGAGCTTTCCAGGAAGCGACAAAAACTGACCATAGTCTTTTGGGGTAATGACTCCGCCCACTTTTCTTTCTTCATTCATTTGATGATGTTGTATAGTCCAGCAGCATCAGTAATGCTTCTATTAGGTGACGATAAACCTCTGCTACTGCCTAGTGAAATGCCAACCTACCCCCTATTGTCAATGGATACCACTAGTCAAATTTATCTCAACCCAAATGTTTGTTTAGAATTTTAAAACATTTTCACCTATACCTTCCTTTTTTTTTATTTACGCTTTCAGATGTATCCCCGATACGAGTATACCAATCTGGATATTACAAATTTTCAATCATCTCCTGTTCTCAGTCAACCAACTAGTTATCCAACCTTCGAACCCCACACTCCATTTCTTCCAGAAATAGTAAGTCGAACATTATTTTCCGACGAAGTGAAGCAATTTTCCTTTTAGATCCAAGACTCAAATGATTCAAAGCAAAAGTGTCGTGTTTGTAATTTGGACTCTCATGGAACCCACTTCGGAGTTATGACTTGCCGCCCGTGTGCCGCGTTCTTTCGGTAACAATAAGTGTAAACTAATCCATAAGAATTTTCAGTACTAATCATGCATGACAGTGATTTCAGGATGTTTTCATTATTATGTTATCCAGTGTCCTTCTCTTCTTTTCCACTTTTTGTTGAACTAGGTAGTAAGAAATTGGGAATCTTATTCTGTGGTTGGGAACATAGGAAATAATAATTGAAATTTTCCTAGATTTAATCTAGGGAATCCCGTAGAACTAAATCAAGGTTATACTTTCAGTTATTTACAGTATCTCCAACAATATCATAACATAGGAGAAGGGGCTACTGAGGTACTGTAGCTTGAAATATCAACTCTCTATTTCACGAAATTGATCCTCTTATGGTAAATAGGGCTAGAATGGTTATGAGCTAAGGTAATCCAAATAAGCTACAGTAATCCTAAAAAGCTGCAGTAATTCAAATTATGTCTAAAATTTTTAAAAAATTGGGAGAAAACAATAACGATGTGTGCAGTAAATTGTGCCAACAGTTCCAGTTTTTCGATTTCGTTTATGATATGTTTTTGCTCTGAAGATACTGTAGTTAGAGACATGGCGAAATGCTCTCAGTCTTGCGAGTATTGACAACATTTATTTTCGAAAACTAGTATAGTTTTTTTCTTTCAGTTTTGGAGCTTGGAAAATTTGATTAATTTTGTTTTTGATTAGTCAAAGATCAGCAAACGAATTTCCACTGACGACATTTATGTTTCCTTATTTTCACTGAAGTTTAGTTTGTCTAAGCACCACATGGACATAAACTGATAATGTAGCAGTAATTCATCTGAATCGGATCATTGAATTTGGTAGCGACTTTTTCCGTATTTCCACTGCCATCTTTTAATTTTGTTTTTGCATGTTATCCATGTTTGAGCCAATTCTCATAATAGGTTTTCACCAACTTTCCAGACGGATTGTTGTACTCAATCTCACTTATACATGCGTGACAAATACGCAAAAATGCAATGTCGACGGCCGCGGAAGGTAATTGTTTTTGTCGATTTTTCCTGAGAGTTCTGACTAATAATCTTCCAGAAATGTGTGTCGCGATTGCCGTTATAAGAAATGTCTTGCCGTCGGAATGACACCAGATAGTGAGTGAAGACGCACTTCTGACTACCGTAATCCATTGGAGTACATACAATTTTTTTCTAGATGTCCAATACAATCGCGACAGCCACAATAACAAAAATCCTTCTGGATCGAGTGGACGACCCAAAAATAACAAGCGCGTCATAATGACACACGAGGGGGAGGCGGCTGGAAGTAGTACTGTAAAATCGGGAGATCCGATAAGGTTGGACGAAATTTCTGGTTATAGTGATGGCTCTACATCATCGACGGGTGGCAATTCACAGTTAGATAAGGAGGCGGAGAAGAGGGACAGCGAAGAAATGGACAAAATTATTACCGATTTGAAATATTTATTTGTAGAAGTTGGAACCTTGAAGTTCTAGGTAATCAGCTAACTTTATTTCAGTATACTCCACCTAAAATGATTACTCAATGTTCAATTAATCAACTGCAACGACTTACTCAAGCACTAGTTTTATATAGACAGAACCAACAATCATCTAATCAAATTAAGGTACTTGAGGAGATATTCATTACCTTACCAGCTTAAAACGCTCTGATTTCAGTTTTGTGATACTATCAATGCGTTTACCGATGGAAAATCACATTTACAACGCGATCTGAAAAATTTTCAAAATGGGTTAAAAGTGTAGACTTCTTTGATAATCTAACCGATGAGCAAAAAGTAAAACTTGTTTATATTGTACCCCTAAATCCACAGAATCCTTTCAGATTGATACCGTTAAAATGTCATTTACTGTTTTCGATAGGCTCGAAAGAGCTCAAATGTCTGTAAAAGTGTTTGGTGAATCTTGTTTTACTGAAAAGGTAAGACCAGATATGGTAAAACCGGAATAACTCGCTTTTTCAGAAAACTACATTATCCTCATATTGTGGAGTTGACTGGCGTACTGTAAACATTAATCCAGAAACTGCAATGAATACTGAACTTGCCAATAATTATATCAAAACGTAATTATTCTGAAATTTTTGATCTATGAGATGTTTGTTTCAGAGAATTCCATGCACATGTCAATTCAATTATAGATGATGTATGTAAACCACTTTATGAACTACAACTTTCCGATACTGAAACCGCATTCATTCTAGCACAAGTTCTGGTTTATTATGGAAGTTGGTTTTTTTTTCTTAGATCAATGATCTATGATCTACTTTTGTTTCAGATGAAAAAGTGACACCTGAATTAGTGAAAAAGTTCGATGAACTACGAGAGGTTGTTATTGCCGATTTGCATTATCATTACACAAAAGAGTGCGGAATGGAAGTTTATACTAATCGATTATTAAGAATGATGAATGTCGTGAATTCAATGAAAGTGAGTTTCAGATGTTTTACAGTTTCGAAAATAATATTTCTTTATTTTCAGAAAATACAAGCAGATCGTGTCAGAAAAAGTGAACTCGTTCGTATCTTCAATATATACAAAGTATCTGAAAAAAGGACGGATTTCAATTGCAGTTAAAATTAATTAATTTCATCACTATGCTTTTCAAATTATCCATTAATTTTTATTTATGCAACAAAACTTTCACTCATGAATTATTGGGGAGACTCAATCGGTGTAATCTTGAGGAACTTGAAATTGAAATCTTGTGTTTTGGAGCAAGAACAACGGCTGAAGAATGATGATCATTTGTAGGAATAGGGATAGTTATTCGAGTAAAAATACGAAGAAGAGCTTGACGATAGGGGCGAATATGATACAAAGAAATGATTGAGGATAGAATAGGGATCGGAGCAGGGATTGCACAAATTAAACATTCGAGGATCGGATGAGTTGTTAGTCCACTTGCTTGAATGTAGAAGATGAAGACACCTCCAGAGAATAAAAATGGAAGACATGCTTGAAGTGTCAGAGCCTTCAGAAGTTGTTTGTGAATCGACTTGGTTTCGGATCTCAAGTGTTCTGCATTTTTTTCGAGTTTCTTCAGAATTTTCTTTCGCAGAATTAAAATAGCAGTATATATCGGGAAAACTGGAAGAGTTAAATTTAATATTGCAAAAATGGCAGCTGGAGACAGAATATGTGTTATTCCAGTAATTGTACTGATATTCAATTGATAGTCGGGAAACTTTTCTTTTAACATATTCAAAATTGTATTCGGGTTTCCAGCAGTAAACGTGAATACGATGAATTGAGTAAAAGATGGAATGTAGATTAATATAATCAGCATGAATATTTTGATCATAGATGGAGGTACATTTGAGAGAATATAACTACGATAAGCAAAGGATAATAATAGAGACCACATTGAATGAATAAATAAATGAAGAAGAAAACTGTATGATGCATAAGAAATGACGGGACCCGCATAGTGACAGAGTCCATAGAATATATGGGCCATCGCAAGATCGAGAGGGATGATTCTGAAATGAAATATAACATTTGAAAGTTATTAAAGATCTGGTTACCTCGGCGCAATTAACATCATGAAGATTGAGGAGAGCATGTCAGTTAATGCAAAATTAATTATCAAAACCCGATAAGTTTTAATTTGTGATGGCGATCGGAATATTGATAAATAGAGGAGAATTCCGTTCAGAATTACGCCAAAACTTCCAAGAATTGTGTAGTAAGCAAGAACAATAATTTCAATCATTTTTCGAAGATCTGAAAATTGAAACAAAAATTAGGTCTAAAAATGAAATTTAGAAGTCAGTGAGCTGTGAGAAAATAGTGATTTCAGAAGAAAGCAACGTGGTTGGCACATTGTACCCAAATTCATCGTCTTCGTACTTCGTTCCCATATTTGTTCCCCAAGAACTTCCAATCACGTGGTCTTATTTCTTGTCTCTGTGATGTTGAGTCTAGCAGAGAATTTATTGTTCAAAATCATTAAACCAGATGAACGGTTTTGGAGTGAAAACATGACTACTCAATCGATTGGCACTACATTGACAACCCATTTGTCTCCAACAGAATTGCAAATTTCTCAGCAATCAGGTCACATCAAAATGATGAACACTTCCGGGAAACGAATTGTGTTCGGTGTAAGCACGGCGCTCAAGAAGGCAACTACCACTCCGACGGGAGTTTTGGATCCTAATGAAGCGGCACTTTTCATTGTCAAATGTGATGGAAAAGAGGTATTATATTTCAAAAAAAAAGTAGGATCTAAAGTCTCGTTTTTTTCAGCAAAACGATCGCGTCACTATCATCTACACAATTCCTCCAGAAGGTTCCGACAAGCAGTATCGCTCGGAATATTTTCTTCGTGAAGATGCTCTTATTGTCAGAAAGAATCTTCCGAACCGCTTCGAGAAGATCACTGCTGTTCTTGCTAGATTCGAAAAAGTGACCTAATTATTCGACCTCTTTATGGAATGAATATTTTTCTGAGATTTGATCTGGTTTCACATTTAAAAAAAATGAATGGGAGACTAGAATGTAAAAAGAGATTTTTAAAGTTTTTCCTTGTCATTCTTCGTGCAAAATATGTTACCACCGTCACGTGTTGCTCGTGAGAAAGTAAAACGGAATCTCGGAGGGGAATTCTCTCATGGTTCAACCTGAATTTCTAATTTCAAAAATGGAATACACTTTTCACAAAGATAGTCGTAACGATTACGCAAATCGTTGAGCAAACAAGGAAACGAACGCACGCGTAATATTCTGTCAAATCATGCAAATCTAGGTAATAGGGAGATGAAGATATACACAAAATAGGCAAATACGAATTTGAATGTGTCAAAAAGTTGAACGGGCTCCCACTATCATTCGATGCTTCATTATTCTGCTGAATCATGACTTCCATTTTAATCAGTGCTACTAAATTACTAATACTATTTTCTGCTTCAGTGAATTCTCAAAAAAGTGAGAAAGATCAATTGGTTCGAAATTTCTTCTAGAAAGAAGACGCCTCAACTGATTTCCAGGTAATCAATGGAGTTTCGGATATTGCTGAAAAGTACAGTAATTGGGCACTCGGAAAATCAAACTACCAATTTTCCCCTCCAAGTAGTAATTACCAAATAACTCAGGTTCAGACACCTCCAAGAAGTTATAACACTGGTAAGCTTTTAGCTAACACTGATAAGCTTCTAGTTGGTACTTGCAATCTTGATAATTTCAGCACCAGTAAAGCGGTTTTTTCACCAAGTTAGAGTTCAACCACCATCTCCGAATCCCAAACCCATAAGCTACCCACACTCGGAAGTTTCCTACTCTCCACATCCAGTAAATAGCCAGTTCTATTCTACTACACCTGCTCCCAAATTCAATACTGATTTCACATTTCTGCCAAACCCATACTACGCTAATCCAACAAATGTCACTTCATCCCCATATTATTACCAACAAGTACCACCACCAGCCCGAATATCGCAACTTCCAACCGAGAATCGCCAAGTCTTCCGATCTCCTGTCCGAGTGCAACAACCAACTATTTCGATGAATCCTAATTTTCCAAGGCTGATGGAAACTGAAGTACCAACTCCAACTCCTCCGATGTTTTCAACCAATTCGTCTTCGTTTCCGAATCACATGACTCATAACTTCGGGCCATCAATTTTAAGTCAACTTCTGAATCCTATTCTCCAAGAATCTTCTACTCCAACTCCTCCCATACAAATTGCTCCTCAAATTCACGGCAATCCAAACTTCCCAACATTATCTCCTCTTCCGTTGCCCCCAATTCAAGAACCACCAAAAGAAGAAGTTATGAAAATCGCATCGAAAAAGAGATTATTTGGGATGCCCCGATTTCCAGTAGATCATCGGAACTTCTTTCAGGTGAGGTGAAACAATTTTTACAAACTTCTATTAACTTCAGTCTGGAATGACGTGCATTTCTGGATGGTGTGGAAATGAGTGCTGCGAATCCAGAAGGCAATTTTCTTCGCCTACAACTACAATTCAAGCTACTGCCATGCCAGGTACGAAATAAAAATTTTATCCGTATTTTGGACTCTTATGATTGTTTTCGCTTATGCGTCTTTTAGATTTTTGTTAAACTACAAAGACGTATTTACTAAATAGGAACTGGTTTGACGTCAATGAAAAATGCTCCCAAGTGCATGATTCGAAATTTTACAAGGAGCAAGGGTTCAATTTGAAAGACACTTCTAGAGTGAAAAAATAAGGGGCCAACTTTTGAAAAAATTTAGGATCTCCCGGACCACCTCATCCTCTTGTTTTGGTTGTTCATCCATCTCCGCCTATTCAACAACAATGCTCTCCAGCATGTCAACCACATTGTAATCAACAGTGTGTTGCAAGATTACAGTACATGCACGAGACTAATTTTTATTACAATCACATTCTGGAGCCAACATGTCGCCCCGATTGGTAAGTTTCTTCCAGATGGTTCAAGTCTCAAAAGTCAAACTTCTAGTATGCCCTCCTGCCACGTGGATTGTCTTATCATTCCACCCCAACAAGTTCGATGCAACAGTTTCAACTGTCAATGTCTAGCTGGCTACGTGCAATGTGCAGCATTCACTTGTTGCATGAGATACCCCGTGAGAAATGAAAATCTTCAAAAAACACCAGAACCAAAACACGCAACCCAGAAATAATGAATGTTTGCTTTCAGAATCTTGCTGCAAGAATGAGAAGCAATGTGCTGAGAAAGTCATCTGAAGAAACAGAGGTGAGAAAAAGTGAAAAATATTCTAGTTGAAGTTTTATTCCCAGGAACAAACAAAAATGTTTTTAGGTTGAAAACAGTGATGAAGAGAATGTGATCAATGAAAAACGAATGTACACACCGATTCGGATGAGAGCCGAAAAACGAAAACACGGTTGGGGTATTCAGGAGAACGTCTTCACGAATCAGATGTTTTCAGACATTGAAAATGTCACACAAAAGCCCAAACAGACTTTCTGGACAAAGAAACGGATAAGTGATGGGAAGTCAACAAGTACACCAACCACAACTTCATCAACCACGACTCCTCCTCCATGTCCAACTACGACGACTACAACAACTACAACGACTACACCTCCGAACACGACAACTACACCATCAACTACCACAACCACGACTCCAGCGCCAACTACAACTACAACTGAGAGGACCACACCTATGACCACAACGATGTACTCCACAACTTTCACAACTTCTACCACTACAACAACACCTGTGCCGATATCAAAGACCACTACACCCAAAATCATGATGAATCTAACACCAATCTACCCTGATATGATAATGAAAGCTAACAAGATACCGATGATACCGGCATATGGAATGTGGGCGATTCCACAAACTTCACAATTACCATCAACTCCTACGGATGAATATGGAAATGCTTTATCTGGAACGAAAACAGAAGCTGTTGAAAAAAAGAATTCGGTTGGAGATATTCGGGGTAGGCATGTCATCCGGTCAGAAAACTTTTTGGATGTTCTGAGTGAGCTGGCTCAGGTACGGTATCAAAATTTAACCTAGGATCAATGTTTTCTGTTTCAGGTGAAAATAAAAGAAGACATCACTGACGACTTTTCTCATGCAGCAAACTTCATTGAATTCATGACGGATAGTATCCGTAAACTATGAATCTTGAATCATCAACAGCTTCTTCGTCTTCTCTTTCTTCCGATTGCCTACTTGATTATGCAAACCGTGACCCAGTCACCAGTTGATTCCCACATCTTCTCTTCTTCATTCAATATTCATTCTCAGGTCTCATTCATCCTCTATTATTTCATTTTACTTCATATGGCCGTCAGGATGATTTAAGTTAATAAATGGTGTTTACCAAACAATTGTAAAATATTGACAGTTCATAGTTACCCATTACAGTTTTTTTATAACGGGCAAACTGGATTTCCGGGTCTCTCCGTTGTTTTTCGTTCGGTAATGAGAATTCAGTGAACTGCTTTTTCTTTATTGTTTTACTGTTGTTTCCTCTCTTCTCTTTACCAGATGTCAGTCGTTTTTCCAGAACTTTCCGATTCTAAAAATCCGAGAGCATTCAACTAAAAAAACATTATCTTTTTTCTCTTCAATGTTGCGAAAGCCGTAGTATCACACCCGATCATATCTTTTTATCTACTCCCGTTTGACAATTGTTGAAATGAAACGCTGGTGGTCCCTCTGCTCCCTCGTGCACATCAGAGTGCACATACACAATTTGATTTCTTGTCTGTGTCTACTCTTCGGATGCATGTGAACAGACGTTCTTTCGTCGATTCTGCTCCACGTATCATCATCCCTATATCACATATCTCTTATCATCTAATCAGACACTGCTCACCTATCCCTCTTGGCCCCGTGTCCCTCCGTCCCCATCTCCGATCAGTGTCTGAGGGACCTGACCTGACATTTTGAAAAAAGAAGATACTTAGATATATTCATTTCAAAAGTTGCAACACCACCAATGACTTACTATTCCTACTACTATTTGTTCTTCAAGAATGAATGATGAATGAGCAGAGGAAAAGGCGATTCATTTATTTAGTAGGTCAGTTGAACGGGAAAAAGAAACATCAAAAATTACATGATGTGCTAGTGGATTGCAGTGCTTCTTCTTTTTTTGTTCACTTTTTGTGTGTTGGCAGAAAATGCCCATCCATTTTTTTTCCTTTTCAACCCTGATTTTCACATGGTCGACAGATGGTTTTGTTATGCACAACGTTTCGACAAACATGGTATCCGGAGGAGAAGAAGACGATTCCGTTTTTATTGGGGGCAGCTGGGTGGAAGAGGTTAAAAGGTTGTAGGTTTTTAATAGGAGTCGTTAAGTGAGGATATTTGAGCTTACCCTCTTAAGTCACATATTTCTAGGAGCCATATCGAATCACCTGGTATTTTAGAATGAGAATCTTAGTTTTTTGTTAGCAAAGAAGGTAATTAGGTTTTTTTTCAATATTTAAATTTTCTATTAGGTTTTTCAATAAGTTGTGGTCACTTTCGCTACCTTTGAGGCCACATAATTCTAGGAGCCATATTGAATCACCTAGTATTCTTTTTAGAATGAGAATTTTTGGTTTTGGTTGGCAAATAAAATAATTAAATTCCTATAATTTTTGAATTTCCTAAATGACACTTAACCGTATGTTATGACTGTTTTTGCCTCTCTACCGCAAATCTCATTGCCGACATGCTTTTTGAATCTAATCCAATTCATCATTTTTGTCCATCTGGTGTGCAGTTTTCCGGTGAACGTCGTCGGAAACAGGAAAAGACAGGAGTGCTCTCTTTTCTTCTCTCCTCACTTGGTCCTGTTTTCTTTTGATCACACCAATTAATTTCATTTGCCTTCTGTCTTTTTGCCTTAAGAAGTGCGGGTGACAAGATGGTGTGGAGATAGACGAATTAGCATTTGAACACTCTACTCCATAAACTGAGTATTTGAGTTATTTCTAGAGTTTCTTTTTCTCCTGTTGTTCTGGAGTCTGTCACTCAAAGCCAATACGTTCGGTGTCTACATGTCCCACCTGGAAAAGTGTCCAGTTTCTGTTGAAATGCATTCTTCTCTTCCCCAAAAAAAAGTTCAGAGTAGGTCAAAAGAGCAGCCAAAGAAGATTAAATGAGGCTTTCATACCTGAGTGGATACCTGGGAGAGCCAGTTGTCATTTATCAGTGAAACAAGAACAATGTTCTGGAGTCTGTCACTTTGGGCTAATTGCCACACATACACATCCAACTCTTTTTCCCATTTTTTCGCCTTCCTGAATTCTTCTTTATTCTTTTTCTCACATTTATATGAGCCAAATTTTTTTCTACTTTGTCTCACTATCAAGCGAAAAATCAAAACCAAAAAGAAGACTTTATTTGGTGCGTCAAATAAATAAACAGGTTATTCCTTTTCTCTTTTCTCTCTCGGAGCACTCCATTTGAGTATTATCCACTTTCTTCCTATTCGACACCTTTGAGATCTCGTTGAGGATGGGTGTCATATTTATAGTTTTGTTTTCTTTACATTTAGTTTTTTCTCGTTTTTTGTCTCCCTCCTTCTTACTTATGAAATTGCTCATTGGATTTTTTTTCTCAATTGAAAAAAAGTTTCAAAACGATATCATCATCTTTTTTGAGAGCATAACTCTTCTCGAAAAAAAAGAGTTCACTCATAGAATAAGCTGATAAGAATTATTGACACTTTCTTCTCTTTCTACCTCTTTTTCTACCCATTTTTATCACGAATGCCCTTTTTCCCACAATCCTTAAAAGGTTTGTGTTCGTCCTATTTGCTCTCATCCAGAATAAGAAAGTAGGAGAAGAAATCGAGAGAATCCCTTGTCCTAATCCACCACTTATAAACTGAACCAAAACCGAAACAAAACGCAGCAATAAACATTTTTATTGCGACGTAAACGGGAGCATCTTTTGGTATAGGGGAGCGCTTTCCTTTTCCCGTTTTGGCATAACAGTTTACCCACTCTCATATTTTCTACCCTGTGCCGACTGTATTATGAGTGTAAATACGGACCAAGTAGTGTGACGAACTCTACGCACCGAGAGAAGTATCGAGTTGACTCTTCTGTACTACATTACCAACACTTTGCGATCTTCTTCCGTTCTATTTTGACTTCTTCTCCTCCCAACATCTTCTTATTGTGTCATTCTATTTGTTCGGAAGGGTTCAGAGGTTTCCCCTGAACGCCAAAGATTTTCGGAATCCCTATAATTACTTGTGTTTCCGATGCGATCATGTTCCCACAATTTTCTGGATATATGATAGATGTTTCATCGGGTGAATCGAAACCGAAGAGGTATAAGAATCCAGGAAACAAGACAATGCAAAAAGTGGAACATTTTATGCTATAATTTGAATAAAAACTACTCCTCTCCTGTGAATCCTTTCTGTCATTTTGTTTCAAGTTTCTCAAGTTTATTTCTCAAGTCATTTTGATAGGATTAACGTTTTTGGTGGTCTCTTCATTCTCTTTGTATCTTTCGGTTATTTCTATATTTTTGAAATAATTTGAATATTTGTTTCTAAAGGTACCATGTCGCTGGGATTCTCCTGGATCCGCAGGAGGTTCAGCTACTACGAGGATAAACATCAGTTCCAGGAATGTGCAAATGATACTGAGCCAACTATTCGATTACAAGGTATGTCTGAAAATTTTGAATGTTTTGCTATAATTTTTTGATTATTTTTTATAGTGAAACAAATTTTACAAGTGATTCTGAAAATGGTTGAAAGCTCTCTGAATGCTTCAATTCGAAATCTAAAAATTTCTGAACTTAATCCAGAAAATTAAGATTTGTCGATAATTTAAAAAATCGAAATTTCTAGAATTTTTCGTACAGAAAACAATTTTCTATTCATATCAAGCCTTTAGAAATCTGAAAATTGCTGCCAATTAACCAGAAAATTTGTATTTTTAATTGCTCATTTGAATTTCTAAGAATCTAAATCCTAGAACTGATAGAACAATAATAGAACTAGAACTTCTTAATTCCTAGAAAATATTTATAGCCTGGGAACTACATCTGCAGAGTTTTCAATTTAATAGTGAATGATTTTTTTAGTCCAAAAGTCAATGTGTTAGGCCCATCTTCTAACAGTTTTCTGTCATTAACCTCCCTGTAATAAAAGGACCCTCTTCAAAATGTGTTTTTTCAAATAAAAATTTCCGTAGGTTTTCAGTGAAAAATATTCCAGTAATTTCGAAATTTCATTTTTTTGAAGGGCCCCTCTTTAATAAAATTTCCCCCTCTAATAGAAAGACTCTCCTGAGGTACCTTGGGTTTTATGGTGAATTGAGTTTCCTCAATACGATTTACTTCTATTTTACTATGAATTTTTCCATGTTTGCCTCAGCTTTTTGATTTAAACCTGACCCATCTATGCAAATCCAAACGTTTTCTAACACAGATCTTCCGAACTTTCAACTCGTTTTTTTCCTCTCATCAAACATCATCTTCGCGTTTTTCGAGAAGACCAATTTTCGCATTTACTCTCTCATTTAATACCCCAGAAAAAGAAACTTTCAATTTTCAAGTCCGATCATCATCATTCGGCACAATTTGGTTTTGTTTGTTTTATACCCTCTTAACCTGGCTCTCGTGCAACGTGTCGAGGCGCATGTTTACTACAGTTTCTTTTTTTTTTGTTGAGATGACACACTGAATCATTTGCTTTTCTGATTTTCACATCGCTCACCTTTCATTTTTAGATTGAACCCCCCATCCCTCGGTTTTCTGTTTTTTTGTAAGGAGTTTTTTTGAGGAACGTGATATTCTTTGGGGAAAAAGACTGTTTGATTTTATAAGGAAGCTTGTTTGATTGGTTGAAGAACTTTCAAGTGTTCATAAGATTTATGATGTGGTAGTTGATGATGAAAGAGAGAAGAGAATGAGAGAAAATGGGAAAAGTTTACAAATTATCATTCTATGTTGTTACATTTCGGTTTCTCATAATCTTCCTTCTCTTTCTGTAAAGCCGAAATCTAATTTTCAGCAAACATAACCCTCCTTGTCCTTCTTTTCCCCTTTTTCCTGGTTTCCTTTGCAATTTTGCGGACAAAGCTTTGGTCCAAATAGCTATTTTAAATTCAGGATGAACACTATTGTCCTTCCTGCTTTTACTCCATGCTTATAAGGATCGGTTTTCAGTTTCAAAATAAATACAAATATTTCGAATATCCTCCTCATGACGATCCTCACCCAATAACTTTTTCATTTCAATTTTCAAAATGAATCCATATAATTCAAAAGTTGACCTCAAACGTCATCCATGCGCACTCATCGATGCCATCCGTATAGTTATTATTATTATGATTTTTATTATGTCCATCATCAATAACTGCAGATATATCTGGGTTGTAATTTATTTCGTAATCTACGGTTCCTTCCTTTGAAATTGTTTAGCTCCCGAAATGAGCAGAACAACTAACATAAATCATCCATTATTCCGCAGATTCCTCATTTTCTAATGTAGTAAGAAGAAAACTTTTCATTAAAAAATCTAGACAAAAGCTGATTTCTTCGTAATGCTCCAGACGAAAAACAAGTGTAAATGAGTTCGTAATCTAAACAAATTGAGTGGAAAAGGACAACTACTAGACACAACCTCCCATCCAGAAAATGTCATTTGTCAGTTTTGCGATCGCATCTTTTTTCCCTTCTGCTTCTTCTTAGAATCTTCGAATACCACATCAATGTCTTTTTAGTCAAGAACACATATTCCTATTGGTCCTCCTCGAATTGAAATTCTGCCCTTTTCTCGCTGCTCACACTTCTTTTTTGTTCTTTTTATCTTCAAAAGTGTCAAATATTAGAAGCCACAATTACACCACTATGTGTGCGCAGGAAGAGCAATCTGCGGCTAGTGTTGTCCAATAATCTTTCTGATTGGAAAAATATGAATATTTGTTATCTGCTTTGTTATCTTGGTGACGACGATGGCGGCAGGTTCGAGACAGCACAATTGCTCTTGAGAAGTGTTTTGAATATTTCGATTTTTGTGGTTTCTTCATACACTTTTTTCCGCAAAATTAAGATTCAAAATTACCAAGAGCTGTTCTGAGAAAATTTGAGAACTTTGTTAGTTTTTTTTTCGACTGAAGTCTGAAGATCATGAAGAAAAAAATTGACATTGTTGATTGAGTAGCTCACCTCAGTTCCAGAACTCATTGCGTTCATCTCAACTCTTGTTTATAGTATAAGAAGTATATTTATTATATTGTTTTTCTTCTTCTTCTTTTCCTGCCTCCTTCTCACCTACTTTCTCAATTTCATGATGGCACCATCTCTCCGGATTGTGTGTATTTCTACGCGACAGTTGCGTGAGATGTGCGTGTGATATCTGAGAATTAGGTGATGAGAGATCAATTGAAAATCGATAGACGCAGAGTGAGTATCAGGAAAGCCACACGGACTCTCACAGATATGCCGGTTGAAATGATATAACCGCGCTCCTTCTGGATTTTGATTTATTTTCCAACTCCCGACGCTATCTGATCAATTTTATAGCGTCTGTAGTTTTTTGATTCACTATCTTATGTATATCAAAACGAGTGAAGTGAATTTTTATCACTTCAGGAGCCCTGAAAACAATACTAGGCAATCTAATGAATAACAGAGCACCAGAAATTTCTCGAAAATTCTCACCTTGACTGGATTTGAGCAAATTCGCAAAGTCTTTGTTTTTTGCCGCCATAAGAAGCGAACTGGGCAAACAAATAAACTATATTTTGTAAAAGAACAAAGTTCAAGTTCTCATAATCTCTATTGGAAGTATACCATTATCTAGTCACCTATTCTCAAGATTTACTCACGTAAAAGTGTACTTGAGGCAGCCGGAAAAAAACCATCGAGCTTCTTCTTCTTTCCTCACTTTTCCGTTCACTTTTTCTTTTGCACTTGTCTCGTTCCACTTGTCTTTCACTCTCGGTTTCTACTGATAATAATTCAATTTCACCTAGATCCTTTTTCCTGTTGTTTTGACGAGTTTCATCTTTCTCATTTTTCCCGTTTTCTTGACCGATGACAACCTATATTTTATGACAAACAGTTAATGGGATACAGAAACGATGATTATGGGCAAATCTATAAAAGCAGCAGCGCATTCTTATTCAGCCAGTGAGTGTCCTTCATCTTCCGAGAACCCTCCCCATTCTCTTTTTGTATTCCTTGATAATCTCATCAACCGGAGATTGAGAGAGAAGCGAAACTGTCAGGATGGAGTGTATACTAAACACTTAATGTACTTTCTTTATCTTAATCTTCTCACCTGACTGAATATCTAATTTTGTACAGTACTTTTTTTTAGAAACTTGATTAACAATAGTTTATTCCAGTATTTCCTCTAGACACGGTTTCGAGAAAATTTTCGAAAAATTTCTCGGGAAACATGACCCTGGTGTGTTTTCTAGGTCATTATAACATGATGGACTAACTTTTCGAAGTTGAGTTTTTTAGGTCACTTCGTTAAAATGGCCTAGAAAACACACCACGATCATGTCAGGCGTTTCCTAGGCCCAATAGTAGTGGCCTGGAAAACCCAATTTTCAAAGTTAGGCCAGCACGTACAAATAACCAAGAAACGAGGAAATAATTTCAGCAACGGCACTCCAAAACTCCGCATTGCACATTTTTCTAGAAATTTCGAGGAACTCGTTCCTTTCTCGATAAATTTTTATCAAAATATATTCGACAATTTCTCGAAAAAGGCATTTTTCGAGAATTACAAAAGACACACTGATCAAAACCCACTCGAAGAGCTTTGTGAGAAAAAAGTGTTCACTTTATCTCTCCCGATTTAAACATCCCAGATCTTGTAGACTTTGCAAAATATATGTCTAAACATTAAAAAGATGATTCTCGATGTGACCTCTATTTTGCTATAACCTTCCTTGACTCATTTCCTTGCTACGCCCAGTTTACCTGTTTTAATTGAACCATTTTTCTATTTTCCAATTCCAGAAGATTCTTGACCTATTCCAGTTGTTTTCTTATTTCAGAACAGCTTTTCAATGATTTTGCTTTCCACTATTTTTCTAACTTTTAGTACAATTGTTTCAAACTTCTTCTTCTTCTAGTAACCTCTCTTTCGAGAATATGACCTTTTGTCTACTTCTTCTTCTTGAATACACGCCGAACACATGTCCAGTTGTAATTTGGAGGAAGAGAATGCGTCTTGTAGGTTAAGAGGTTGAGGGAAAAAGAAAAAAGAGGAGTTCAGTTCATTTGGTTTCCAGTCAAATGGTTTCCGAGAACGTACTATAGTTCCTATACATTCCCCTTATTCAACCCTTTTATATTCAATCAAAGCGCCGAATCACAATATAAGGCCTCCGATTGGTTTTTTCTCCTTTTTGTGTTCTTTTTTCGGTCGAGTTTCATGCAGCTTGTGAGTTTTTTCCCTGCCCTCATTCAAATAAACAAATCAGTAAAATTTTTAGTGGAAGCTGTTGGTGGTCAAAACAATGAATTTGATAGGTAATAAGATACCAAATTGAATATTTTTTCATTTTCTTTTTGTGTGGTCACTCTTTTTCTTGTGGTCATTTGAGATTCATTTTGTGTATAAACATATAATCGTCGCAACAATGAAAACGAGACTAGATGCTGGTCAACAAGGCAACATAGATTTCCTTTCTCAGAGAATGAGACAATTTTTGGCGCTTATTCTGAGCAATTTTCAGTGGAACAATTTTATGTAAGATTTTTGACAGTATTCATGAACGCACAAGTTTCCCTTATGAATCATGAAGGGAAAGTTTTGTAAACGGTTCTTTCCATAATAATTGGTAGTTTTCGTAAGGCTCAGAAATTATTTTCTTTCACACAGAATTTTGTTAAACATTTTTGGAAACCTCTGATTCTTGAAATATAATTCTGTAATTCAATTTTTTCTTATGCTGATCTGCAAATCAAAATTTTATGAATAAAATACATGAGAGATTTTTTGAGGTCCCGAAAATTAATTTAATTTAGTTTTCAAGTTAGTTTTTAGGGAAAAAAAAGCTCATCAATTGTTATTTATAGGATAAAACGAGCACCAAAAACAATTCGAGCTGAATATGTACAATTTGCACATCGTTCGTTTTTTAACTTCCCAGTTTGTTCGCCAAGCCTCTGACGCTTCAAATAGCTGGCTGGTGCGCCGTCGGCGTGATTCAGTCAATTTTTATTAGCTGGTTCGTCGCTCCGCATCTAAATTTTTGAGTGAAAATTTTGTATTCCAGCCCAACTTATATGGAAACTTGACCACGAAAAGAGAGTTTAAGATTTTTTAGATGTAGCATTCAAAACCCTTTCTAAGAAAGATTTTTTCCAAATTATTGTCGAGAATTTGTATTGAGTCACTCGAGAATTTGTATTGAGTCTTTAAAAACCTACAGTTTTCCTTCTGTCCAACTGTTTTTATCGATCCTTTTTCTTTCTTTTTTTTGCTGATACAGTTTCTTATCATCCCTATAAACTTCCCTTTTGTTACACGAATCTCCATTAATCACCATTTACTTTCTCTGTTATAAAGGGGAGGTTTCCATTTGCCTCTTTCTCTTTCAGTGTTCACTTTCCCTCTGTTTTCCCAATTTGGACCCTTTTGAGTATCCATTTCTTAGTCATGCAAACCTCTAGTATTACCTGTCAATCGAGAAGAGGTTGAGGCTCTCTCTTTTGGTGCTCCATGGGAAGAACATTTCCGTCTTCGATCTCTTATAATAATATTATTCGTCTTATTCCTCTTCTTATTCCCTTCTTCTCACTGACTATGTCCAACAGATTATTCGCTGTGATTCTGAAATATTGTGCAAATGCATGGGTGATGTTCAATGGTAGGTATTCGTTTTTCGACCACTTGATGACTCTTCCGATGAATGTGTAATTCCGAAAAATCATGTGCTTCTTTTTCTTCGCCCATTTCTTCATTTTACAAACTATCAAATCCATCTTATTATGACATATCATCATGCATCTTGTTCGTACAGCCCTTCACAAAATGTGTACTTCTTTGTTGTTATATTTTGTGGTTCTAGAGCTAGGAATAGAGGAAAGAAGAGCAAGAACTTGTTCCCCTTCTATTTGTTGCCTTCAATTTTCAAATTCGGTTTGTCAACAAAAAAGGATCTTAAAAAACTAGACCACAACGAAAATATTTTTTTCCAGTACTGAAATGCTATTTTCTATTTTTTATTTTTCTTTAAATGCATTCTCACAATAATCGTCGTTCTATTTTTCCAATTTCTCATATCCTTTCTTTTCTCCCTATCAACCGTTAATTTGTGTAATAAGAAAAGAAAAAAGTCAGTGTGAGTGAATGAGTCGATGAGAAAATGTTGACAAATGGGATGTCATGTTCTTCATCTGATTTATTATCACCACTCGATGGACTTTTTTCTTCTTTTGAACCCCGTAGTTCGAGTTGAAAAAGAAACAGAAGCGACTTTTTGCTGTTGCAACAACTCGAAATGTGTAATAATTACGAGTGACATAAAGATTTGATGGAGAAACATTTTGGGGTCAAAAACACGAAATGAGTCAATCAAATGAATAGGAACAAGTTCTGGGTCCACGGAAGGAAGGAAAAAATCAGAAGTTTTTAAGGGAGAGGCATATTCGGTATTCTTCGAAAAGTTAGTGAAAAGCTCTTAAATTCAAGTTAATATTATAGCCATGATACTGAGCAAATTTGCTCGCAGAAGGGTTTTACCCTTCTTTCTTAGAAGATGAACAATTTAAATGTTTCCAAAGGGTAACTTGAAATAACGAACTTTTCGTCTGTTGATCCCTTTCGCCACGTAGAGGCTCAGTACATGAAAGGGAAAATAGTTTTTCACCGGGGTAAAACACCAACCAAAAACCCCATGGGCTCCTGGACCCATTACTGTTGATAAAGTTTCCATTAGTTCTTCTTCAGTGCTAGAAGTCTATGTCAACAATAGTTGTATTGTTGTTCCATTTTTTTAATCTTTGATTGAATCTTTTTTGAAAGGGGGACGTTCAGTGAAAATGAATTCAACCTAGCCATGAACCCCACAACATGGCGACCCTTAGGGCCTTTTAGTACTTTTTTCGCAATTGACCAATCAAAAGACAAAAAAGAAACAACAATAAGGAGCGTCTGCAAAAAGCTTCGTATCAGTGAAAAAGTGCCAGTGGAAATTATCCAACGAGTAATGAAGTTGAGAGAGTGTAATTCCACATAAGCGTTCTTTTTTTTGCAATATGTGAAATATTTAACCGTGTGCAGAAAGAGGGGGCGTGATTTAAATGGATTAATTTATTGCATAACGTGAATTAGCAAATAAAAGATTTTAAAATATATTTTACATGAAATAAAATATATGGGCTAAAATGGACGGTTTGGAGAGCATTTCATTAGAGTGTTTATTTAAGGTTAACGTTTGAATCTATTAGGTTGTTCGGAAAGTCCTTTCCATTTTTGATCTGTTTTTTTCGAACTTTGTTTTTTTGAGATATGCTCACCGTTTTTGGCTCTATTAATTTCCATTTTTGGACTATCATTTTAATTGTATTTATATCTGATCGTAAATTAGCTGAAATCGATCGCCAACTAGTAGCGGTTAACAACGCAAATGCACCCATTCGAACTACCATCACAACCTGGATTCAGTAATTTGAAAAACGGGAATTCTTGTTTGACAAAAATCCACCTTCAAAAAGGCAAATGGGCTTAGGTTTGGATGCATTAAAAGCCGGGAAAGAAAGGGACCCGCCTCAAACTGCGTGTGATATATGAAGTACATCAGTGGCAAGCCTTTCGTTAAAAAACCGTAGATTGAAAACTCTCGGCACAGTCAAAAAAGTGGGAAGAAATTGACCCCATCTTTTGGCTCAACGCAACTTTTTTCCCGGGTGGGCACCTGTTTGAATCTTTTCATCCTGCGTTGCACACATGAATTTTGGAATCAAACCATTGCTAGTGGTGATAAATGGGTAATGTGTGATTACAATAAGCGACAAGCCAAATGGGTTGACAAAGGCGCTCAACCACCAGACGTCTCGAAACGTGAAATTCGTGTTAAAAATGGGATGTTGTCGGTATGGTGGTCTACCAAAGAATGGAGTATTAGGAGCTGCCTGATAATAGTGTCACTTTTACGACCCATACCTATTCTTGTCAGGTGACATAACTCAGACTTTATGTGGATCTCCATTGGAGAGGAACGCAAAGGTTTATTTTGAAAATTAAAATTAGCAACCTCATGCGGGAAGGAAGACCCAGGCCGATCTCGGTGGATATGTCTAGACGATTCTGCCTTATTCACTGTATAGCTCTAACCTTCTACTTTCTGATTATTACCCATCCAGCCACTTCTAACGTCATCTTGATTGACGACAATTTACTTCAAAACAACGTATCAAAAATGGGTTGACTTGGTTTTGAACTCGCTGTGACTGGAGTTCTGGAAGGAAGGCATCCACAATTTAGTGGGGCATTGGCAGATAGTCATTGATAACGATGGTCATTACCTCCAATTTATCCGACATCGTTTTGACCTATTTTACTTCGAATGTATCTGACGCTAAAAATGGAAAGGACTTTCCGAACAACCTAATAATTAAAATTGTCTGTTTCTTTATTCTTTTTCCAAAAACTTGAGAAACTCTATGTCTGAAAACGAAGCGAAGTTGGAAAATAACTTTGACAACTTTGCATTCCATCCATTCCCTTAACTATTTTTCGAGCTGATTCTAATTTTAGTCGGCACTCTTCAAAGGTACAATCAGATAATAATACGGATATTCTTCTTTTTTTTCACTTTTCTCTCTTCTTGACCAGCTCTCAAATTTTCCCTCGATTCTCTTCCTCAATTTTTCGTCTTCTTGCAAAAAGTCGTCCCATTAGTCGTCGGGGGTTCTGAGAGTGAGAAAAAGAGAAAAGCGAAGGAACAACTGATCCCTAATCTAAATGACCATTTTGTGGAGCTCCCGGGCGATGACAGCGACACTCTTCACTTTAACACCACTCACCTTCTCTCCCCTCCCGGACAGCAAAAAGAACTAAAAACTTAAGACTTGTTCAAACACAAATAAACATTACATATCGGCGCCTCTTTTTTGTGTTGGCATACTTGTTTTTTAAAGTACTTCTTTACCTTAATATTGTAGTCCGATGCTTGAAGCTCTTGTGACCAGAAAATTTCTCGTGTCTTGAGTCTAGAATCTTCTAAAAGTTTATCTCTGCCGGACACATCCTTCCCGTGTGAAACAATAGGTTACGAACACGACATTCAGCGCTAAAACCATTGTGGTAATCGGATTAGTTTCTCACTTCCGACAACAAATCATTATAACCGTTTTGCTTCCATACCTCACACTCACCTAAAAGTGTTCCGAATGTAATGATTTCTAGTTTTCGTGTTTTTTTTTGTTATATCTTTTTAATTCTGTGATATATAACATTTCTAATTAAACTGCTCTTTCAGGCTATCGGCAACGAGATCGTGAGCATGAAGTAGATCCTCGAATGACACAAAGTATGATATCAGAAAGGATACAAAGATCACAGTCTCCCGTTGATGTGAGCTTAGCGTTAAGTGAAGATTCAACAATAACGATAACAGAACTCAACAACCGGTGAGCAGTTTTTTTACTAGTTTTCAAAGTGGGTCTGAACTATAGTGGATCTCACTGTTCAAAATCCTACAACCGTCGATAGCGATAACATTATAGTTTGGAAAATTCTGTCTTTTTGGTTTATAAAGTTTCTCATATCTAGATATTCTTGGTACGTAGAAATTTCATTATTCTATTAATCAAATTGTATAAAAAACATCGGATCTGTGTAAGAGGACATCTTGTGGGCGTGGCCAACTGTCCCAGTAACGAAAACCGCGGTAACCTAAAACTTTCGGTTCATTTTTCTCGATTACTATTGCTTTCTTTTGTATTGAAAACCAAAATATTTGCTAATTACGGTAGCTCGGCAAGTCAGATTTTCTCTTCCACAGCTTCGATTTTTGCATACCAGCGTAATACCTTATCCTAAACCTGAATTACCAAAAGACTTGAGACTACTTAATTTTCAGAAACGGTGCCCAATTCAATGCCAATTCCATCAATGCAACACCTGTTATGAGAAGGAGACGAAGTCAAATGAGTGGAGTACGGCAAAGAAATTATCGAATATTGGATCAGAATGAATCCAAATACATTCTACAACAGCAGACTGCAGCTGCGATGGAAGAGAAGAGAGGAACGTTACTCAGACGGAAAAGCAGCAAAAAACTAATTGAACCGTGAGTCTCAACCCATATGAATTTTTGAAGAAAATGAGCCCCATTTTTTAGTGTGCCAATGATAATCACCCCTCCGGTACTGATGGCTCGAACGCAGTGCTGTGCGGTTTGCAAAAAAGAAAAAAGGTAATCCTTTTGTTCCTCACTTTTTGCCGTTTGCTCCCGAAGTCATTTCCCACATTTTGACGTTCTTTTTTTCTCGGTCGAAAGACGCTTTGAAACTAAAAAAGAGAGAAATGAAAAGTAGTAGACGCACAGGTGAAAAATGGACGATGCATGCGTAATTGGGCTTGTAATTAGAGACTCAGAGATTCAAAAGCTTCTTCTAATTCTTCTCAAAACGTTTTGACTGATTTGAATCGACATGTATTCATTCGGTGAAGAACGTTTAGAAGAATCATCTTTATTTTTCTTCTTCTTTTATTGTCCGTTTTGCCAATTTTGTAGCATTCTATGGTTTTTGATGTTAAAAATTGAAACAATTCTCGAAACGTATTTCTTTGTGTCCAATAAAAATGATTCAGTTTCTATCAAAATCATTTTCTATGATACCAAAAAAAGATCGTATTTTTTGACAATAGCCAAATTCAAAGTCGTAGAGTTGTATTAATGCTGACCTTTCTATTTTAACCCCACCTTATTTTAAATCTCTTCAATTCATCTTGCGGCGAGGAGACTTGAATGCAAAATTTATCTTAGCGCCCATCCCATTTTCATCTCAACAACACATTCAAGGACCGCGACACCTAATTTTCGTGTAATCCTTACCTTATTTTCCCCAGATAGTTTACCACCTCTGAGAGAGATATTGGTCTCATTGACAACTTTAAAATTTATTTGCGTTTCCCTTCGATTGTGTATGTATCTGTTTCCTCGTTTTCGAATACTTGAGATCGGTGACGAAACTGTTGAAAAAAGTGCGCGGAATGTGTTCTCGAGAGAGTGAGAGAGAGTGACCATGTATCTTCATGTTATCCAATAGCACCCATGTGTTCGTCATTTTCACTCTAGGTGCTCGTTTACATGTCTCTTTTCCCGTTCATTTCAATTGGTTTCGCGTAATCAGGTCGCGGAAAAGAGTAGGAGGGGTTTATATAATTTCGCACCTATGGTGTTTCCCTGTTTCACCTTCCCGTTTTACTATTTCATGTTCAAGGTTACAATGGTCACTTGTATACAGTCTTCCTGTCATAGATATTCATTTAGAGCAAAATGACCTTATTACGATCTTCTTCTATTTTTTCTACAGAATAGTTGCTTACATTGCTGATATTCTCACATTCTGAACTTCTAAAATTCTAAAATTTCGAGCAAAATATTATTATTACGACCTTCTAGTACTACCTTCAGGTATTTCTACAAAATAATTGAAAATTATTTGTTCAGGTAGTTTTTTTTCGAATTAGCAAAGAAAAATATATTCCGGAAAGGTATATAATTTCCGGTCATCGCGCTTTTCTATTACTGTCTTCATCGGGTGGGGTATAAGATCTATATCAATGCCTCCCAACCCTTAATATCTAGTCTAGTCTCATAAGCATCCACCAATTGCTTATCAAACCCCCGAATAATGCCATTCTGTGTTCATACTGGAACCACTGTAAAACCCGTTTTACAACCTTGTAAATTGCCCTTTTCGGTTTCAGACTTCTTCTTCATTGTCTTTTTGGAACATCTTTTCTTCTCACTAGACACTTTTTTCTGACCCACATGATTTGCTCAAACTGCAGTAGTGAACAGTAATCCTTCGAACCGGTCTACCTTCCACTTTTTAACTGACCGATTTAGTGGTTTTCAAGCCGCTTAGTTCTTTCTGGTTGTGCCATATACAAGTTACAAAATGATGAACATCATCTCATATATCTCTTGTTCCTTATTTCGTGTTTCAATTAGAATTAGATGTCCTTTTGAAGGTCTATCTCTGATTTGTAATTTGAAGTTTGATGACCTAGATCTTTTAACTCCTAGAACTATAATTGCATGCAATTTCCGAACACAAGACATGTCCAACCACCCCAACACTTCAAATCTTTCTTACACTTTTCATCAAGAAGTCTTTAGGCTGTAGGTCAGTCTCCGGAAGGAAGAACATAAGACGCGATATTTTTCACACATTGCCACTTGCAAAAAAAGGGAAAACCGTAATAATATTGGCAACTTTCGCTCTCTTCTTTCTATTACTCGTCCATCATCCGATTCTTTTCTCTTCTCCACTCATTGTTCTTTTTTTTTTGATAATACAAGAGAAGCATCGTCGTCTTCTTCTTTTTTATATCTGAAGAAGACACCTTTTGGCTAACTTCTCTCTTTCATTGTAGCAATTATAATTATTGTTGTTATAGTGTTGATAATAATTGGAATACTAATATATGTTCCTTTTTCTTTCTCTAATTACTTGTATTAGTAGTCGTCTGAGAGTAGCCATTCGGTTTTTCATTCAAGTCGTGCCTATCCACTCTCCACCTTCATATTCGTTTATTCTTTCTAGTAATTTATTCAGTTATCTTTTGAGACGGCTACTTCGTCTAAATTATTAATAAAATTATTTCCTCACAATTATCGTCTTCAAGAATTCCTATTCTTGATGCGGACTTGGATGAAAAGTGCGTTGTTGCTACCGTACAACCTGAAATAGAAGGGCACCCACGCTATAAAGTTCGAGCACAATTATCTAAATTAATATATCCAAAATATGTTAATTGGCGAAACATTTCTGCTATTATGATATACAATTTATCAGTTGACGACTTTTTCATATCTTTGATATGAATCAAGAAAAATTGGTTCAAAGTTAAAAGTTAGGGGCATTTTTATTACAGGTTTCAAATGTATATGGTTCATACCGTCATTAGCTTTGGTGCTGTTAATCCCGAAAGTTCCCAGAAAAATGATTCAAACTAAAGAGTCCTTATCATGTATGATTTTCAAACGCATTCTTTCGTTTCTATCTGCTCTCATTTATTCAATTGGACATCAACTTTTGAATAAACATTGACATGATAATCGCATGATTTCGGAAAAGAAGAAGAAGACCATGGGAAAAGGTTGAGCCCACAAATTTGAAACATTCTTTTTCTCTTTTGTGGGTAAACATTAGAGAGAAATGAGCATGTTTCTGTTGCGATCACTGCACACAGTCTTTCATTTTCCTTTTGAAAAAATCCTACTTTCCGCGCGGAAAGAGTTACATTTTCCGGTCAGATTTCTTTCGGGTTAGAGTAGTGAGTTCATGAAAAAAAATGCATTGAACTCAAGATTTTTTTTCTTCACTTCACCTATTTACACTCCCCTAGACTGTCCCTTGTTACTACAGAAAACCACAAAAAAGAAGCTGAATGATCGAGAGCAAGTACTTGAGACTGGTCCACTAAAACACAAATTGACAATTTATTTCGGCTAGTTCACAGTTTTTTCTTCTCTTTGCCTTTATCTATTCTTATCCGACCCCCACACAGTTTTTTTTGAGTTTCCCGCATTTGTTTACCTTGAATGTTGAATGCCACACAATATCTCTCGGGTCTTCTAAGTGAAGGAATTCCATGGATCATGTCATCCCATTAAGATATGCCATTTCAATTGTCCGCTCATCTCACAGGAAGATTTGACCTTTCCGTGGTTTTGAAGAGCCCTTTTTGATCCCGACGACGACCCGTTTTTCATGTGCTGAAGGACGATGTGTTATTGCGTCTAGAAAGCCGAAAATCGCCACTTTTTGTTCCGTACTTTTCTTTCAATACATCTCTATTTCCACCTCGTCAGTTTTCGGTTTGGCTTCTATTTCCATATTCGAGGCTTGGGGGGACATAATGTGGCGCCGTTATGTTCCAGTCGGATGTATGTGAAAGTATACATACATATAGAGTGATGGGTTTAGAAAACATAATTTGTCGGTGTGAGAGTGCAAACCGAAACAGTTCATGTTTGTTCTGGGCTTTTCCGCATCGTCGCCTTTCATTCACTTTTCGAGCATTCACTTTCCATGAACTCATTTAATCAGCAGCTGTTTCTCAATGAGCCATTTTTGAGAGATTCTCTGATTAGAATCACAGGGTGAGAGAATAAAAAAATCTTCAGAAAATATTCTGCTTTCAAAAATAGTATATTCATATGTTGCTAGGTGCCATTCTATTCTTGGAGAATACTTTCCCATGGAAAACTACCCTCCATCTCTTTTTTTTTCTTCGTTTTTTGTCTATTTTACTAACACTTTTGTTTCTTCTGATCTTCTCGAGTTTCAAGACACTTTGTTGATGCTCTTTTTGTTTCCAGAAGGTCATGAATATCGAATTTCATCTCATTTCCAGATACTAGTTTAGCTATTTTGCAATTTGTTCTCTCTTCTCTTTTCGAAGATTTGTTATCTCGTTTTCATTTTCCTTCTTCCCTCCTCATCAACTTGAACATCTTCTCATCCCTTCGTAATAATTAGCCACATCATTGCGATGCCGCCACCGCAAATAAATCGAATTCCCGTTCTTCTACCTCATTTGCAATTCAATTCCTTTTCTGGGTGTGTATTCCCTCAAAAACGAAAACATATATGCAACATATGTACAGACATTTTTCTAACGAATATTAAGTGATTTCTTGAAGAAAAATGTTCGCCGTTTAGAAAAGAAAAACAGCAAAAACTTAATTATTAGGCCTGCCCTAAAACGAGAGAGATCCATCTTCTAACCTCGTTACAAAAAAGAATAGACGAAAAAGAACACAATTTTCGTTCGTTTTGTTCATGTGGATTTGCCGGAAAAAGAAAACAAAAAACATATTTCATTTTTCTTAACCAAATCGTCACCCAACTTCCGTTTCTTCTTCCCATCTGCAGGAGTTTTTCGGTTTTCCCTGAATCCGCCTCCTGCTTCTTTTTCTTTTCTTTTCCTTCTTTCTCTCCACATCACTTTCCAATACCCCGTAATTTGGTGATTTATTATGACACGGCACAACGGCTCTTCACCAACCACAAGAGTCGGATTTTTGCACTATTTCATTCTCATTCCTCTCAACTGAATTAGCTCATTCCATTTTCTTTGCAGCAGTGGTTACGCAGTTTCAACACGAACACAATCGTATCCCGTGGAAGCAATGTCTTCAGCTTCGACTGATCGGGCAACCGAAGAGGTTTGTTTTTATACTGTAAGAATTCATTTATTGCCGAATTTTTAGGAGACCGCGCGATTGTCATTCGTTTCATCATCAACTGGATACAGTAGTGCAAGATCTTCTCTTCGCAGTTCTGACGGTGGAGATGAATCCAACAATAACTCTGCTGGAAATCGAGATAGCGCCATCTCGACTACCTTCTCATTGTCATCGCAATCATCTGCTCGACGATCAGCTCTTCTTACAAAAGGATCATTGACGCATTTGGATCGAATTGCAATTGAACTTTTAGATACTGAAAGAACATATGTGGAGGATCTGAATGCTGTTATCAAGGGTTATATGGACTTTTTGGTTGAAGATAGAGAACGACTCAAAGTTACACTCGATGCGATTTCTTCTCTATTTGGTTGCATCGAACGGATTTTCGCGTTCAACAAGCAGCTGTACAATCAACTTGATTCTGCAGATTTAGATTGTGTCAAAGTGGGTTTTTTCAAGGTCAACAATGAATTACTAAAGCTTCGTTTCAGATGAGCCGATGCTTCGTGGACAACTGTGGAAAGTTCGAGGATTACATTGAGTACTGCACAAATTACCATCGAATGATGTCTACTCTCTATCATTTACAACAACAACCCCTCGTTGCCAAAGCTCTTCAAGAACGTCAACAGGCTTTGAATCATTCACTTCAATTATCAGCTTATCTTCTGAAACCAGTTCAACGTATTTTGAAATACCATCTGTTTTTGGAGAATATTCTAAAGAACATGCCATCTACAACGCATCCAGAAGAATTGAATCAAGTGAAAAAAGCCCATGAAGTGATGACATCTCAAGCCGCTCGGATCAATGATGAGAAGAAAAAAGCAGAACATATTGAAAGAGTTGGACAGTTGCAATCGACACTCCAGAAATGGAAAGCAGATGAGGTGAGGAAAGATTCTGAATGAGTCATAACCACAACTTCTTGTTTCATAATGTTCACTATGTTTCTTTCAGATTCAAATAAGTAATTTGTCTGCGTATGGAGATCTATTGTTGGAAGCATCTTTCCGTCAAGCTGGTTCCAAAACCATGCGACTATTGTTCCTCTTCGAGGAAATGTTGCTAATTGTCAAGCAGCGAGGATCAAACTATGTTTGCAAGGATTACATTATGGTGTGTTATTTGATTTTGGATGTTCTATTCAATGATTTAAATATTCAGTGTTCCAATTTGATGCTAAACGAATGGATTTGTCCAGAAGAACCATTGAGCTTCCAAGTGTTGTCTTTTGACAATCCACGTGCTCAATATGTGTTCTTGGCATCTTCAATGGAACAAAAACGGACATGGATGCAAGAATTGAAGCGTATGATGTTGGATCACTATTCTGTAGAGATTCCTGAAAAGACAAAACAGTTGATGCTCAGCATTGACAACACGAAAGTCGTTCCGTTTGGCAGACCAGAATTTGCTGAAGTCTCAATGAAAAATCATAAGAAAGTTCCGAAATATCTGGAGAAGAGAAGAAAATCAGTAGATGCAAAGGAGGAAAGCAGCCGAAGAAGAAGCTTGTCAGCCTCCAGGCTACTGGGTGGCAGTAAAACTTCAATTTCGGAGCCAATCAGAGAAGAACAGAAGTGCACTTGTCACATGAACGGAGGAATTTACAATGGAGCAAATCCAACCACTTCGAGATCAATTGTAAGTTAGAAGATTTTTATACTGGCTCCTAATGCAGTTGCGCCCTTTTCTTGTTTCATTAGAAGCTCACAAATATTTATTAACTTATATAACTTACTCATACTTAATTTCAACTAATCTAGACGCATTCAATGCTAACCCATCAGCAATCTCATCCAACTTTACCGGAATCTAACTATCACCGTCCACCAGTGTGTCGAACTCAATCCGCCGCAACTATTGACCTCAACCAGGTGAACTTCCCACTTCTTTTTTTACTTTATTCTCTTCAATGCTCAACTAATTTCAGTTTTAATATTTTTGAAAGACATTGAAAATTTTCCGTTGGAAAACTACATCAAACTAAAAAGCGAGCAAACTCATACTAGAAATAAAATACATTCTTTTCAGGTCAACATTACTGAGCCGACATCAGCGGCGGTATTATCATCCAGAAGTCGATATCAGCAAGCCAGAAATCGCCGGCTTCCACCTCGTCACAACCAAGAGGTATGGTTCAAAATTAGATCTGACGCATAATCATAAAATTTTCAGTCACGGTCCACATCCAGCCGTCGTCTTGGAGATGAGGAAATCGATAGAACTTTTGACCAGCTCTATGAAGAATTGGTGTCCTTCGGAGACTCTACAAAGGTGAGAGAACCTCCTGAAATATTCCTAGTTTATTCAAAGTCCCATATAATACATCAGTGTTGAATTTATATACCTTCCCCCTTGGAAAAATCGTTTCATCAAACTATGCTGATTGATTATTTCATTCAAACGATTAGAGTGAGAAACGCCTTTTGTGATGACGAAATTTGAAATTTGTTACATAGCGAAGTTCCATAAATGACTTTTCTTTGCTCATCACTATCAGAAAAAAAAGTAATTTTGCAGCAAACGAGCACTTCGGTGACAAACACACAAAACCACAGGCTACGCCTCAAATCGGAAGCACCGCCGAGTACGGTAACCACCATTACAGTATCTGCGACTCCAGCAACTGCAACACTTTCAGTTGCGGAATGCGCGGTAAGAAATTTTATTGGGATAGGGGATAGAAGATTCGTGAATTGATTTCAGAATACCAGACTTCGTTCGAAATCTCTTACGCGGTTGGATGAGTACGAGGCGGAACCGATTTGCCTGAAACCGTGAGAACTCAGGTATAAAGGGAAAAATAACATTTTGAGTATTTTAGAAGTATCGAGAGAAGATATTCGAAAGTAGATCAGTTGAAAAAGCGATCGAGAAAATATCAAGTGAACCAGGAACCCGAAGCTGCTGATGTTTTGCGTCCAAGCGTTGGAAGATTCTCATTAACGGATCACGAAATCATTATTCATGGAGAGGTTAGTTGGTCTACAAGCTTAAAGTGAAATTTCTTAATTTTTGAAATGATTTGGCTAGATTTATTATAATTTACAGTGAGAAAATGAACGTTATGTTTTACAATAGAGGGAGAATTGAAAAACGACTGGTCCGTTTATTCGGAACATATGTCAAATAGAATGCGATAATATTTGTTGAAAAATTGAGAAAATAAATAAAAAATATTCAAAATAGACTCTAAATATACGGTAGTTCGCTGTTGCATCTGTAAAAAAAATGAACGAGAAATCCGTTCTCAAGCTTTTTTTCAGACGGCGATAATAGAATAGAATGATAAAACAATTGGGATTTTTATGGAGTAACCGACAGTTGTTCAGAAAATAGGTTCTAGGAGCTTGCTTGCATTAGCCATCCATATGGCCAGGCCGACTGAAGGTTATCAAGATGTCTGAAATCTAGTTGAGGTGTACGGTAATCCATCACTTAGAAAATAAAAACTTATCAAAAAAAAGATTCATTAAACTCATATTTGTTCTAGTTCGAATTTTCTTAGTTCTAGGAGCCCTACAAACGAAATTCCGGACGCCAACGTACTCCTCTGACCGCACAACAAGCCGCTGAACTCGACGACTACTTTCCATCATCCTCAATGAATTCGACTTCACAATCTTGCTCCAGCAGTGCAACGCCATCACTAACGTCTATAATTCGACAGTATGAAAATGCTTAAAACCTTATATTTTCCGCAAAGAGAGGAAACACCAACGCATCATTTGTTTCAAGCATAAAAACTTCTTATCTTCAAACCGCAAAACCTCAGCGGTGAATCGACTGAAAAAAATGTGTAAACAGATTTCGAAACAGAACAAATTATTATTATTACAAAAATAGAAAACAAATAAAAATCTTATTATGGTAAAAAGAACAGTGCACCGTGACTCGAACCTTCTTTCATATGTGATGACTTCCATTCTTCCCTATCTCTTCGTCTTGTTCATTATCTCTTGGCTACCCATACTACTCAAAAATGTTCCATAACAAGACCGTTTCTTCTTTTTTCGCACTTTACCCTTACCGGTGTTTCTCCCTATAGCATTATTGTAATGTTCAATCATTCTTGCTCTTTTGTTTTATTCATAATGAATATTTATTATTATTGTTTATTATCAGAGACCAATGAGTAAAAAAACAGGTCAACGGAATGGGAAGTGGTAATAGAGATCAATAACATAAAATCGGGTTAAATAAGAAATTCAGAGTAGTTTGGCACTATCTTAACTTTATTCGAAAATTTAATATTTTCGGTCAAATCATGAATCCAGTATAAGAATTCAGGTTTCAGTTTCTGGCAAACATCGAAATCAAAAAAAAATTTCAAAAATTCGATTCTCATTTTTCAGTTAATTCTAGAACTGTAAATAAGCCTTAAAATAATTATATATCGAGCTCTCAATAATTATACATTTTAGGGAAAGTCAATTAAATAAAATTTCAATATGTCTTATTGCAATTTCTATCAAAAAATTCCCGAATCTCTTTTCTCTTTGCCTCCACTTGTTCCGTGTATGAATCCACAATTCGCTTGGCTTCATAACTGATCGCTGCTCCACTTTCAGGATTTCTCTTTTTCATCATTTCCAACATTCTCATTTGTTCCTCAACCTGAAAAAAAACTGATTCATTTTTGACTGCTCTCCGCCCACTTTCACACCAATCATTACTTTCGCGTCTACAGTAATCTCACTTTATAGTCACAATTCACTGACGTCTACATGTCCATAATTTTTTTATTTCAACGTATTTCACTGTCTAGAAGTGATAAAGAGGCAACACCAGACCACACTTCCGGGCAGCTCGAAATTGGAAATGTTGCCTGTTAACAAACTTTGACACAGTATTTCCTTTTTGACTGATAGCAATGACATGTTATGAAATGCCCCAATTTAGAGGAAATGGAGAATAGCGTGCTCATCGTTTAGTTCTATTTGAAATGTCATGTGAGGAAATTTGTTATAAACAAACCGGAAAATTCAAGTACAAGAAGGAATAGGAACTGACCTGTGACAGGAGACGAATACGGTGTTGGTTCATCAAATCATTTTGAGCTGTTAGTCCAGTCAGTTGCTGAAAAGAAACTTGTGATGATACGAACATTGATTACTTCAAATGTTTAATAATAAACCGATAAAACTATTATCTTGTTTTCAATTTTACACTCTCTTACGAATACAGTACCCTATTTTGTTTACGATGAAACTATACAACCGTTGGAGCATGAAGAATAAGACTAGGAAGATATTGTGAAATTTTGGATGGCTCCTACATAAACTATTCAAAAAGGCTAGTTTTCGAGATTGGCTGAGTATCATTCAGAAAGTTATGAGGAAGTTGATATTGTATCAACAAAGGGTGTACTGTCATTTCTGATCTACGAACCATATCTCTCAAAAGTTTGGAAACCAACCTGTTCTAAATCGTCAGTCTTTCTTTTTATTTTCTCTCTACATCTTCTCGCAGCTTCGGTATTCCTCAATCGCTTCTTCTCATCCTCGGACACCTGAAATTCAATTACTTATTTCCAGTTTTTTTTTGCATTTTCTTCAATTTACCAAGTCATTGCTTGTGGACCCCAGTAAACTAGATGCATTAAATTGTAACAGTGATTGTTTAAAGAAAAATTCGAATTGCGAAAGTTTTTCAGATTTATCCCTCAGTTCATCATCAGAATCGTCTGATCCTGTATTAGTAATTGATTCTGTACTCCCAGGAGTTTCCAATTGTAATTTTGAAAAGTCTAATGACGGAGATAATGGAGAGAGTAAAACACTTGGAGATATTTTCGAGTATTTGGGGGAAGGTTCTCCGGAAGGATTGTCATAATCTCCAAATGGAGAAGCGTACGAAGAATGCCCGTAACCAGTAAACTCGGACATTTTTATAGAATCTGTAGGAAACGGTTTTTAGAGAAAAAACGAGAGAAAGAGAGAAAAGGAGCTCGAAGAAAATTCTTCTCTAAATTCCAACAGTTTTTCTATTCTTTCAGGTATACCAGTGGTTTGAAACGGAAAGAGATTGATAACAAAATGAGTAACATGCTGTGGTTGAGGGAAGATACTGATAAGAAGTTTTGGGCGGGGCGAAGATAAGGGAATTTTTTTATATTAGGTGGACAAAAAGGGGATCCTAATGAGAATACCGGTACGAGTCAAAAAATATTGACTGTTATCTCTATTTTCATTGCTCACACTAGTAAGCAATGAGTCAAATGAGAAGTTGATATTTCTTCAGATAAAATAAACTGGAATGACTCAACTTTGTTGGAGTTGACTTTTGTCGGTTTTAATAGGGCTTGTACTATTGGGAAAATAAGTTTGTTATGAAATCAGCGATTTGGGGAAAAATAATGGAGTCGGAGAGAATTACCGCAACTTCAGAAATATTTAGGTTAGTTGGCTGATAATCCAGTATGCAAAATCAGAAATTTAACATCAAAGTTTTCAAAGAGCATATTTAGCTTTTGGCTTGGAAAAAATAGTTCGGAGTTTCTAGATTTCAACAAACTGAAACTTATTTTCGTAAAACTGTATTTTTCTTTTATTGTAATTTGAATTTTCGAAAGCTTAACTGAAAAGGAAGCTTATAAACAACTGTTGAAAAGTTTACAATTTTAAGTCGCTCGAAATCGAAAAATTAGATTTAGCCATTCAACTTTGAAAATGGGAAAAGGTGGCACACTTTAGAATTTAAATCGAACAAAAAACCTGAAACTTGGGAGACGAAAGGCAGAAGGAACTCAACAAAAAAAGAAACAGAAACACGAGTTGTAACTAAACTTTAAAAAAACAAAACAACGAAATAAATTGTGTCATCCGAAAAAAGGAATTGGATATGTCAGCTCAATTAATTTTTTTTTGAATGAGTCAGTCGAATGTCTGGATCATTCGAGAAAAAAAAGAAAGAGAAAGATATGAGACCTAGAAAAACAGATATTCATAATTAGTACGAAGGGCGTGCATCTTCTCCCTTTTCTTCGAAAAGACAGATTCTTCGAAGAGAACCTTTTTTCGAGGAACCCAAAAAGGGGATGATTCAGTAGAATTATGAAAACCCATATCATTTTATATTTCGTTTTTTATCTCGTATTTCTAGGTGTTGGTCACGCATGGGTGACATCATTTCAGGATGAGAAAAAGCGTTCAGAGTAGTTGAGTCAGCTGATAAGGACACAAATCTCGATCATAATCATAAACTAATATAAAATGGTGTGAGAGTGGGATAATTAATGGGCAGAATTTCCTTTTCATTTTTGTCCATTTATTCAGCTGGTTTCTTAGAAGAAAATGAAAATCATTGTTATTTTTCTCTAGTACGAAAAGTACTGAAGCCGAATATAACTGCTAAAAATATTTGAAGAACGACTTTGAAAAGGTGGAGTGCCTCTGTCTGAGATGTTATCCGGAAAAGGGAGGAACAGAATAACAATTTCTTATTTTGTGCCTCCGTCAACGGAACACATTTTGTACATATGCGGAAGGCTTCCATTGTTTTATGAAATGATGAATTGAATGTCACCGGGAATATGACTGGAACAAGAAGACTAGAAAAACAGCTTGAGGAAATCTAGAATTACATCAAAACAACAGAGATTAAAGAAACCCTCCGTTCAGGTTTGAATCTTAATTCCGAGTCATTCGAGATGTTTGATTCGTAGAAAAAGAAAACGAGTCAGGGTGAGTCAAATGGCTCTGGGAATTTCAGTTGTTCTGGTTATTGAGATGTTATGGAATCGACTAGAACATGATCTGAAGGAGTGTGAGATCAGAATAACAACCTGAAATTGAAAACCAAAAAATTACAGGCTCCGAAATGGGCAGCATGATTTTGAGAACCATAAACAAGACATTAATATCGCAAAACTAGGAGGAAGATTTCTATAGTGTCACTATGTGTTTTGATTGGAAACCTACAGTTTGTCATGTTTTGGAAATTCGACTTCAGCTTTCGACTTTAAATTACTCACCTGCAACTGATTGATCTGACTGAAACTCATTCCATCCACAGCTTTACCGAGCTGATTCGTATTTTCCACATCTTGATCGGAATCGTTTTGATTTTCCTCATCTCCTTCGACATCATCCCTGTTCTCATCTTCTTCAAAAATCGTCTGCAGTGTCATGTTGTATGGATCCATTGGAACGAATTCATCGAAATTATAGAAGTTAGTATGCATTTCTCGAGCAGCTTGACAATATCCACAGGATGGGTCTCCACAGTGACAATCCATTTTCTTTGAAAAAATCTGGGAAATGTGTCTGCAATAAAATTTATATGGATGTGATGTGCAGTGCGCATTAGAATAACGATTTATCAAAGTTTGAAGGTATATAAACATTGCGCATTTATCATCAATTCATATATCAGGAATCACGTTTACAAAAGAGTTTGTAGTCTTTTCAGACTACAAGATTCGTTTTTACTCTTTGGATAATAAGTCATAAAAATATCAGATCAAGGATCAATACATTTATTTTTAAAACCGCTCTTCACAATACTACACAATAAATGAAGATCTTGTGAACGGCTGAGTGAGTAGGGAAGGGTCTTCGGATTCAGAGATTGTAGGAAATCTGCAAAGATTCAGAGGACCTCAACTTTTTGTGAAATTGTTTTATTCTTATCTAAAAACAACTAGTTTTGTGGAAAAATCATCAGCATCCATTTCCAAATGGTCCCATGACTCTTCATTTTTTACTTATTTTCTACTGCGCTCCTATTTTGAAAACCGGATTGTTATCGTAAAACCTATAATAGAAGGTCCCTCTAACTTTTAACTGAGCCTATTTTTCTCGATTCCTATCAAAGATATAAAAAATTGTCCACTGATAAATTGTTTAACATAATATGAGAACACTTTGCCAGTCACCTCATTTTTGATATATTGCATGGGAATTGAGGTTGTGAAGCTTAAGCTTGACAGTGTGGGAACCCTTTTATTACAGGTTTTACGGTATTTTTGAACCGTGACAGCTTCACTATATGTATCACTAATAGTGTATCGTACCATTGACAGCACAATAAGAACATATTTTAATTCAGAAATTTGGTTAATTTGTTTAGCTGTTTTCGGTTTTTTAGCGCATCTTCAAATTCATATACACTTGTTTTCTTCCCCAATTATCAATTAGTTTGAAACCCTTTTACATTTCTAATTAGATCCAATTCGTTAACTTCGAAACATTCTTATCAAATCGATATTTCTAACTTCCCGTAATATGGATTATCGGTCAAAGATTCGTCTCGTGAAACCTAATCTTTATTTGTCGTAATTATTTATGTCACTGCCCGCCTATTATACTATTTCACAATCACCGTAGATCAATATTTTCTCTCTTTCCTATCATCATGTAACTTCTTATCAGTAAACTATAATATTCTCAACAAAAAGCGGATCGTTTATAAAAAAGAAATCGGCAGAATAGTGAATTGAACTGAAAACGATCTGGAAAATGGAAAATGAAGTGAATGATGACCATCGAGGTTGATTTGAATCACATATATAGTTCTCAATGACGTTCATGTGAGTCATTTCCTTCATGTACAGATCATCATAATCATCCTCGAACTATATTTTCAGCTTCATGATTCACCAACTGCCTTTTGCAAACTCAACGACAAACGAAACAGTTATCAGTATTGCGTAGACTCCAAGTGCATTTATTTAGTCATTGATAACTAAACCGCAACATTTTCAGAGAAAGTTTATTCGTTATTATTGGAGAATAGAGCATGAACTAAACGCTGAGAGTCATCAATCAAAACAATAGTCATTGATTCTTCATTACTGTCTGTGTAGTTTGAATCACTGATCTCGAGAATGAGACATCAACTATTTATTGATTCACTGAAACAAAACTCAATTTGAAATTACCTTAGATGATTCAAAAAATGATTGAAGGTCAGATAAATATTGTTCAAATTAAGGCAGTGGTCGAAGTTGAGTGCTTCGGAAAACAATTATGTATATGTATCTTTTCTGAAAAATAAAAATAAATTTTACAGTATTCAGAACATATTTTTTTTCTTTAACAGTATTCTTCATTAATTTTTAGCTCGGTATCTTCCGAGGAACAAAAATTCTCTTTGGTTATTTTTCCATGAATAAAATTAGGCTGTCGAAATAATGAATCTATCTAAATGTTGTTGAAACCATCAGTTTTTTAGGAAAAAATTCTGAATCTTTTGTTTTTACAAGGTTTTCAAAAACAGGGATGGCGGGTTTTTTGTTTGAGTACTTCTGGGATATGTAGGATGCTCTTTCTGTGTGGCCGAGCCTATGAATGGACAGTTCGGTTTACGGCAACCTACCAAAGGCTCAGATCGCGGTCGGCCGCGGTCCTATTTCCAACATCCTTGGTTTCTTGCAATGATGTCTACCATATCAAGTATGTGGATCATTAAAACATGCACGGTGTCTAGAATACCTATCAATCCACGTGATCAAAACTAGTACCCAATTTGTTGAATTTCACTCCGCGTACATCTTCAAGTCAAGTCAACGATTTATCTGCCAACTGAAGGTTTGTGATGTCCATCTCTGTCTCTTCAATGTTCACCGTCTTCATCTTGCGCATCAACTATTTCCTCATTTTTAGTGGGAACCTATTTTTGTGAGAAAAGTAGAAGAAGAACTGTCTCACTTCGTTCTGTTTTTTTTTCTGTTTCGCGGTTTTACCAGTTGTTTTCTTCTTCATTGATTTTTTTTTCCGTCTTTTTTTCTCAGCTAAACTTTTCTCCCAAAAAAAGAAGTTATTCTGATTGAATGATCGATCAATATCCCTGCAAATCCAGCTTCTGTTTCTCAAAAATCAAACCTTCATTTATCAATTTCTTTCGCTGAGAATAAAACATTTGTACCCAAACGACTATCGTCATTCGAAATGTGGTTTTTCATTGAATTCACTACGTCAGAGAGCTTATGCGAGACAAAATTAAACGACAAAATGCTTGCGAGAATCGAGATCCAGAAACCCGTTTGTAGTTTTTATTGTCAGCGGAACCAGTTGTGATATCACTTATCCGGCTAATGAAAGCGGCTAACTGATGAAAGCCTAAAGTTCATTCAACCGCGGTTGACACCCTCGCTTTTTGAAATTTGAGTTGAGAAAACAAAAACAGAGAAAAAACGAGTGGGTGGAGGAGTAGGAGGTCACAAGCGAGACATAATTGAACAGAACTTCTTGACCTGATTAGATATTACGTCGTTTTTTTCCATTTTCATTGGTTTTCCATTGGACAGAAATTTCCGGGAACCAATTTTGACCCCCTGTTCTCATAATTCATTCAAAAACTATAAAAAATATATTTATCCCAAAAATTTCTCTGGTTCTTGTTATCAATTCGTTTAGCACATTTCAAAGTAATGTATTCAGAGATCATTCATGAAATCAGATATCCAGGAGGAAGAAATATATAACGACACGGTAGCTTTGATGTTTTAGGTTAAAACGGTGATTTAGATCTACAAGAAAACAACGAAAAATGAAGATTTTTCAGGTCATCGAAAAAATCAGAATACATTTACACACTTCTTTACTTTGAGGAAATACCAAAAATGTTGATTTTATCCTTAAATGTTTTATTTTGTTCTGACCACAATTAATCAAACTCTTGCTTTCAAAGTGTTTTTTTCTTTTGGGTGATACCTTCTGATCTGTGTATCCTACTCTTCTTTTTACCATCGCATTAGTTCAGAAATCACGATTATTTCAAATGTTTCTTTTCCTCTCTTTTTTCTTTTTTTACCACTTGACCAGATGTTTTTCAAGGCCAACCATCCATCATCTGACTCTACTATTTCCCAGTTTCTTCCACTTTTCTTTTCGGGAGAATATAGGTTTGAAATTCCACTGGTCGTTTCCTTTGAAATTCTCCGAAGTACTGGGAAAAAGAACGTCTCAGGGTGGTCCCGTTGTTTGGTTCCATCCATTTTCCATCTCTCGTCATACAATTTTCAAATTAATTTATCTCTTCCCGTCAATGTTTGCACTTGGAAATTTACAATTCAGAAGACCTCTTCTCTCTTTTTTCCCATCTGGCTTTCCACCACTCATCCGAATTCTCTTCTTCTTCTCAATCCACCATCTCGATTCCAGACTCCAAAAAATTCGGCGTCGTCGTCTTTTACCACCAACAACAATACTACGACGACGTCCACAATGACAAACACGGCGACTACCCAGGAGGGAACGTCATCTAATCGACGCACCCCATCGTCTTCTTCGTGTCTCATCAAGTGCTTCCTTATGGAACGGGTAGGTTGTTCTCTCTAATAATGTGAACCTAGCGGTCACATTGTCTCCGCCCCCTCTTCCTAGTCTTCAATTTGGAAAAACAGCATGTTTTATGTAGCAATTGCAATTATTTGGACATTTTCATAAAATGTCCCACTATTTTTTATTCGTTCTAGTAAAGACTTTAAAGAAAAAGGCAAGTTGATACTGTATTCGGGCTAGCATTTTTAAAACGAATCTAACAAGGAAGCTGTAGAAATCAGAATTACAGTAATTTATTGATGAACCGATGCTACCACATAGTCAGTTCAATAGCAATTATCTCAGTTCTGAGGAGATGTGTTGAACATTGTAAACTGACGAATTTTACGGTATTACTGTACATACCGTAAAACCTGTAATAGAAGGTCCCTAATTTGAGTCATTTTTTCTCGGTTCCTGTGGAAAAAATAAAAATAAGTTATCAACTAGTAAATCGTTAATCATAATATCAGAAACATTTTATCAGTTGACACATTTTTGATGTTTTGCATAGGAGCCAAGAAAAATCTGCTCAAACTTGACAATGTATGGATTTTTATTCCAGGTTCTACCGTATTCTAATAGTTGGTTTCCATTCTAGTGTTAATATTCTCCTGACAATCTCTTTATCACCTATTCATACAAAAGTAAAGTTCCATAAATGTAATTTTCAGCATTACCGACATCTCCTGTTTTCGTTATCACTTCATACTCTAATTTATCTTCTCCTCCATATGTGTTTCTCTCCTCGAGATCTCGCTCAAGCCTTCCTTGCTGACATTCTGATTTTGTTGCTCGCTGCATTCGGAACTGCTCGAAAATTACCTCTTCTAATTTTCCCAAGTGTGGTTGTAAAAGTAAGTTCCAAAAAATGTTTCTTTGCAAAGCAATTCAAGTTTTTTGTTCCAGTTCATATGCTTCTCTCTATGTGCTGGTGTTGCCATGTTGTCATTGAGTGAGACGAGTATCAATATGAAAACAAAAGAAGCAAGGATGGAATTCAGACGACAGAGAAACTATCCCGAAGTTGTAAATGTCACTTTCGAAGATCATCCGACAGTTTGCATCTGGATTCACGCAATGGCCGTTGTGGTTGCGTTGGATTTGAATATCGGATTGAAGGCGTTTTACAGCTCATTCGATTGCATGAAAAAACCTGTTGTCGAAGAAGAGGTTTGTATTTTTATTGAGGGAATTGGAAAAAAGGAAGACTTCAATTTTAAGATTTATTTTCTGAAATAAGGCTTCGGTTGGTCGAAAATCAGCGACAGCCGACCGGCCGCCAACCAAGGCCGTGCATTTCCGCGTCAACATGCCAGTGTTTGCATACGTAACATTCTATTTTACGACACGCGACGAACTTTTTGAATGGCGTGTCGTAAAATAAAATGCTACGTACGCAAACACTCTTTGGCATGTTGACGAAAAAATGCACAAATCCGGTTAGCTCGGGGTTGGCTAAATTTCCCGAACGAATGAAACCCTAATTCGGGAACTCGATTCTGGTTTTTTTTTCAGAAGCCACCATCGTATACCGTTTGTGTCACCAATTCTTCCCAATCGACACTTCCTCCAAGTTATGAAGAAGCACTGGAGGCTCGTAGAAACATGCAATCATCTCAAATTGTCCCAGCAAGAAAGAATCGTCGAAATTCAGGAGTTTTTGTTGTATAGTCCCAGCTTTGCAAAGTATTTTGACAATGATGTCCAAGAAGTGACACTGATAATAATTGCATATTTTTTCTGGTTTATTTTTAATAAAATGATCTCACATTTCACTCTAGTCTGCTCTTTTTCTAAAAATAATTGGTTCCAGTTTTTATTTATGAAAAGTATTGAAAACCAATTCCAAGAAACCTGCCCATTTGGTCACACCGTCATCCAATTTTAAATGAATTCAACCTAGTATTCTAATGTTCTTTTTTATTGCTCAAGACGCGTAACCTCAGAATCATTGAGATCAAAACAGCATAGTCTTCTTCTCCTTCTGCTTCTTCTCATGATGTCTGGCTCATTATTTCTTCTATATTAATAGTTCATTTACACTTTAGAGAGCTCCGTTTTCGAAATTCTATTTTATTTTCACTAACGAATCTTTCTCTATAACTTTTTAAATGAAAGACAAATAATCTTGAGGTTTTCCTTCCAAGTCATTTTGCACTCTGCTTGGCAACAACGCCTTCTGTCTTCGTCGTCGTCTTCTAACTCCGTTTTGCCTTTTCGTGGGAATTCCCATGATTACAATGTGGTTTTCTGAGTACATCATGTTGGCAAATTCGTTTTGAGACAATGTGTCAATAACATGAATTGGAATATACTCAGCCACTTGTGAGGCGGGAACTCGAGGAACTAATCGCGCATTTTTTGTTTTCGAGTTATTCTCTTTTATTCGTTTCTGTTAACTTTCAAATTTATGTTGGTGTTGAAAATTAACTCTTGATTTTAGGACTTCCATAAATTTCCTAATAATATTGGCTGTCCATGCAAAATCACGAGTTAGATTTTTCTAGTTTTGGATCTTTTGAACCCAACTAGACGTCCGGGTGTGTAACCAAAAGCTAATCAAATAATCAAAGGTAAAAAGTTCGAAGCAGAAGTTTCGACTTTTTCAAGCCGTCTATTACATACTCATCTGAATCTACCGTGAAACCTGTAATAGAAGGGCTCCTAAATTTTACCTTTGAGCCAATTTATCTCAATCCCTGTCAAAGATATGGGAAGTTGTTTTCTAATAAACTGTTCATCATAATATCAGAAGTGTTTTGCCAGTTTACAAGTTTTTGATATCTTGCATAGGAGTCAAGAAAAATAAGCTGAAACTTGTGTGGAGGTTTTTCTGGTACAGGTTCTACGATATGCAAACACTTTTATTTCTTCATTAGACTTTTTGACAATCGAACGGTAATCCAAGCAATTATAGCTTCTGGAACCTTTTTAAGACAGTTCTAGAAATCCAGCCACATGTATTTTACTTATTTTGAGAAGATCGGTAGGCAGACAATGTGTTCAAAAACTGGACAATCTGCTCAGAATGTTTGATCACTTAATGTCTCAAAATGTCCGCAAAACTGGGAGCATTGATGATTTGATTTTTGGATGATACGAAAGAGTTTAAAAGAGATGATGTTTTAAAATTATTTATGTTTGAATCAGAAAAGAGATCGGTTCGAATTTCAGGTCTTGTTAAAACAAGATGACTCGTTTTCAGAAAAATGTAGAACCAGGAAAAAGAATAACATCCCTCTATTAACGAATCAGTTTCCCGACTTAACTTAACGAATCAGTTTCCCGGGATAATTCGAAATTATTGGCTATTGCATCTCCAACGTTTTTTCGGAATCAAAATAGGTTTTTTCTACGAAATGTCAGTGTTTAAACGATATAAGTCACTTGTTCCAGAACATCGATCCAATGAACCCGTTCGGATTCCCTTTGATCTCTAAAACAAACCTTTCCGATTCTATAATATCACCTGCCCACTCCAGTTAACTTCCTCAGCATTCGTTTTATTATTAGTATGACGCATTCTACTCTTTCTGTCTTCACTTCGATCAAATCCTTCATTTCTTCCTCTTCTTTTTTTCGAAAGACATCTCCAAAGACTCCATCGGTGTGCTCTTGCCACCACCACAATTATTGTTTTGTCGCTTCATTTTCTTCTCCATCTTTTTTATTTTGTCGCCTATTACCCGTATATTCATGAAAAGCCAACACTAATCTTTATTCAACCCCGATTCATTTCTTCCCTTTCAATTCCATATCTTCTTCTTCTTCTTCTTTTTCTTCTTCTTCTTCTTATTCTTCTTATTTCAGTTTCTTCTAATCAGTTATCCAAATTCAATTCGTTTTGCTCTTATTCATCCACAACTCACAATTCTTTCTCTTCTCTCGTTTTCTCCTTCTTATTCTTCTTTTTCTTCTCCCACCATTGCCAGGTGTACATACTTACATACATTCGCTTATCTGTCTCTCTTTTGGCTATACGCATGGCGAGCCTTGATTACCGGTTGCTATGTCTCGAGTTCTTCACTCTTACTCTCTCTTTTTGTCCCACTTCTCCTTCTTCTTTTTCTTCTTTTTTCTCCTTCATTTCATCATTCTTTTCTCTGTTTTTCTCAGTCTTCGTTCCCCTTCAGGAGCACCTAATTTCTCCTATGATCCTTTCGCTGTACCTATAATATATCACTTTTATTATTTTTCCCCTATTCGTTCTGTTCCGCGTTTTTTCATCAACCTCAAATTTTTAGCAACTTCCTACCTGCGTCAGAAGTTGCTGAGAAACTCGTGATTCTTTTTAGATTAAATTTTGGACTTATTACCACCAGACAAACTTCCCACCAAGTTTTTTCAAAACAAGGAAATAGACCCCGCCTCCGAAATTCTTCACTTTTCTTTTCGACGTGGTTTTTTTAAAGACTAGGTCATCAATTGTCTTTTATGAGCATCGCAAATGAGCACTTTGCGTGTGGGTTGAAATTGGTTTTGACATTCGAATTTTCTCGAAATTCTCAAAAAAAATATGTCTCCACTCAACATTAAACGTGTTTTTTTTCGTTTTGACTGCATATGTCTGAAAATTAAAGTAGATATGAAGCAGCAGAAGATATTTTGAAATTCAGTATCTTCTATTGTCTTGGAATATTTTCTAGAAATGTAGTGAAAGCAGAATAGAAGTGATAATCTTTGACCAGTTATTAGTATCATGAGTATTATGATGGTTACAATGATTCTATGAAAAACTAGTTCTGGTGCTTGAAAAAGTGGTGAGATTAGATGATTGAAGCTCTGTTTTAAGTATTTTCAGAAGTGCCAAATTTTCGTATGATTATCATACTTGAAAACGGGACCAATATTTTTAGACAACCAAATAAGACAACTTGACAAGCACTACAAAATGACATTAAATGGAAAACTGTAACTTGTCTATGAACAAAGTAACTGACCAAACGGCCCAAAAACATTTCCAGAGCCCGGCCTTGCCCGGATTGGCAGCTTTATGTATTGTAACATAGACAAGATACAGTTTTTCAAATGCTATCATTTTCAGTACTCGTCGAGTTTTATCATATCTAATTTAGTTGGTCCAAAACATAGATTCTAAAAGAAACTATGTCTGTGCCCACCAGTGCCCGTTTTCAAGTATGCTGATTATCGATTGAAGCTAGAAGCCTGAGAGGAACCCTTTCCCATGCTTCTGAAATATTTCTTTCCCAGGCATGAGTCACGCAACCCTATGACTATCAGTCCCTTCCCTATCGATCTTTCTCGATCCCAACCCCTAAATTATTATTCGTCTCCAGTCTCTTTTCTTTGTCTTTGGCACCATCAAGACATATATTTTCAACCGTTTCATCCTCATTTTTTTTGTTTTTCATGTTAACCTAGAAGATAGAAAAGAAAGCCACGTTTCGTATTGTGCCTTCTCAATTCTTCTTTGTGCTCATTATTCTCTTGTTTGCTCTTCGAGGCGGTGTAAACTTTTTAATGAAAGGGAGCAGAGTATTCCAGTCTTTCCAGCCCATATATGAAACAAGTTTATCTTTTCTTGGATAACAAGTTTTGAGAAGGCATTGGCCGTCTTGGGAGTTTTCTGTTCCAATATCTGCTTCGTGTTTCTCATTGAGCTTGATTCCTCGAACCTCCTTGCTCTCAGCCATCACTAAATCCACGTCATTCTTTTTTTCGAAAGCTGTACTCATTTTCACATTTCTTTCTCCTTCTAATACCTCTTTTCTCGATGTAAACAATCTTTGTTGGCCATGTGATTTCAAACTTTCCCTTCTTTTTCCAACTATGTTCTCCTTCTGGATGACAGCTGAATCCAAACAAACGAGATTCTCATGGAGGTTCTGTCCCCCTTATATTCTTTGCTCATCCTCCAACTTCCACCAATCTCAGCTCGTTTTTTTTATGACTACTGTAATCCTTGAAAAACAGAAAAGAGCTCTTTCGATTGTCGTCGTAGCTATAGAAGAAGAGGATTAGATCCCACAAATCTGCTACAGAAATTTGTATCAAAGAACGTCTCTCTGAATCAACCAGTATGTCTGATTTTGAAATCGTATATTTATCGTGTTGTGCTCTGTGAATGTTGATATTTTGATATTCTCATTCAATTGTCGTTAGGGCGTTTGTTAATTCAATGAAAGGACTTTCGGGGGAGTAGAAAATTTGCAAACTACGGTTTTTTTTAAATTCTTTCCGGTACCATGTGGGTTTTTCCCAGTTGATTGGAGAAATTGAATTACACCTCACTCTACTGATTCGGTCACTTCATTCAACCAGGTTGCAGCCATCAGAGTTCAGGGGAGAAGTGTACGAAAAGAGTTTCACAAAATTATGAAAAAGAACGCACATCAAGTTTCGTGTCATATTTCGTTTAGCTGTCTGGGGACTTTTGGTCGGAACGCTAATGAACGGCGACAAGCTGAATTTATATTTATTAGAGGATTGCCAATATAGCTATTCCAAATAACAATGAAAACGGACTCTGGTTTTGTATATTATTGATGTATTATCTATCATGTTTATATGTGACTTGATGTCTAGATTCAGATCACCATTTCCAAAATGTTTCGGAATTTTTATGTCCGACAAAAAATTTGTTGTGATTTTTTAATAACTAAATTTTTTCCAAAGTTATGTGTGTTCATAATATTATTTCAAAAAGATTCAGGAAAAATTGAAACCTTTGAAAACGCAGTCCTCGTCCAAGCGGCTCGCGGGAACCCTAGTCCAAGCCACTGTTTATCTAGTTTTTTAGGCAATTTTTCCGAATTTTTCGCAGTTTCCGGTCAGTTTTCCTGTATTTTCAGAAAAATTGAGTTATTCAATTTGAAGACTTGATAAAGAGATCATAAAAGTCTCGATTGACCTCACAAATGGCTGAAAATTGCATGAAAAAAACCTGGACAAGAACTGAGCGCGTTTGCTTTTTTGAGAATATTTCTGGGATTTCGATTTTTTCTGAATTTTTTTCCAGAGTATAATTATGAAAAAACTGGGAACATTTTAATGCAAAAAAATACAAAACCTTTTTTTTTGGTCGGAGTCTCCCTTTGAAAGTAGATATTCCAAATCGTCTCAGAATGTCGCTGAACTGTCGTCTGCATTTTCGAAGTATTATTCGGATTAGTCACCTAAATTTTAGTTGCATTCTCCATCACCCACGCTTGTTTGCCCATTTTGTCTCCCCAATGTCATATTCTCATTCCTTAATCTTATTCTCACAGCTAACGCGTCCAGAGATACCTGTCCACTTGCCTTCTTTCTCTTTTCCATCTACTGAGTCTATCACGTCTCCAAGGAGAAAACACGAAAGCAATAATATGTATATTCAAAAGAAATTTCGGTTCCCTGTTTGTATTTTCTTCCTCTTCTCCCAATACCATTTTTCTTCCTGAACAGCCCAAATTGTATTTCGTATAGCTGTTTGAGATTTCGAAATTTTTCAAACAAAAAAGTGTAGGAGACTTCAGACTGATTCATGTCTTCTTGGTCATCTAGAAACTACATTCGAGACTAATTTCGAATACATTCATCTCCCGAACACAAATCTTATCGTACTTTCTGCTCCTTTTCTTGTTATTGTCCCTCGATTGCCACGCCCATACATCTTTTCATTTATCATTCGGTGCTCCTGATTCATCCGATAATCCCTATCGTATCCCTGCTAATTACCCTCATGATCAATTTCCCAACTTTTTGACTTTTTATACGATCAACTATTTTTTGTAATCATTCATGTGACGCAGCCGAAAGAACGAGGTGCTCCAAATTCCAAGCACGTGTTTTCTGTCTCCCACACCCCAATTTTCGAGCAGAGATTTCTCTCCGGATTTTCTTTTCTACACGGATTTCTAGTCTTCTGATACTGAAGATTTCATTTCTGAAGTTTAGACGTTCTTTTTGATCTTTTCACCTGCCACTTGATTTTTTGTGCCTGCCAGTGGCTTGTGTTCTTGGATTGAAAGAAACACCGGTTGATAAGCGATTCATAAAACCATCTTCATACTGTAGATTGCATCTGCATTCCCTGAAGATTCATGCGTTGTTTTTTTTCCTATTTTGCTCTAGATTAATACTGAGCGCATTGGTGCCCTCTATCTGCTGACTATTCTTTTATAGCAACGACGATACAAATTGTCGGTTCCCTAGGATGGAGTCTTGTGACGCACTCACTCACACACTCCCATCCACCTATTCTCCACCCACTTCTTCTTCTCCAGTTGCCTTCTTCCTACTCAATTGAGATTTGCTCTTATTTGAGTGTAGGTTCTCTCTTGACGACGAAAAGACGGCTCCGAAGATAATCTCTTTCGAACAATGCAGGTATTTTATCTCCACTTCTCAGTCCCCCGACTCCTTTCCTGAGTCGCTCGACGAAGTGGGGATAAGTGTAGTTGATACAAAACGATGAGATTAACTCCCTTTTACGCTCCACCCTTTACTTTCAGAATCCATATCTCTTACATTAATCTCTCTGTTTTCAGTTCTTGATAATTCAGCTATGTTTAATTTTTCAGATATGGGCTCATGCCAGAGCAATGAGAACTCAGAAGGTAATGCCAGAAACAAGGAGATTGAGAAACAGCTAAATGCCGATAAGCGAGCCGGTAGTAGTATTGTCAAACTTCTTCTACTGGGAGCCGGAGAATGTGGAAAGTCTACTGTACTCAAACAGATGCAGTAAGTTGGAAAAATCGATGGTCAGTTCAAAATCTAAATCTTTTATTCCAGAATCCTGCATAGCAACGGATTCACGGAAGAAGAGGTTAATGAAAAGAGAGCGATTGTTTACAATAATACAGTATCTGCAATGTGTACTATATTACGAGCCATGGATGGTGTTCTTCATCTACCGTTGGAAAATGGACAGAAGGAAGCAGAGAAGGCAATTGTGATGAAAGTACAAGAGAATGGAGAGGAAGGAGAGGCTCTGACAGAAGAAGTTTCGCGGGCAATTCAATCATTATGGGCAGATCCAGGAGTGAAAAAGGCATTCGAAATGCGCAGTGAATACCAATTACCGGATTCAGCAAAATAGTAAGGAATGGGTTTAATAGAGAAAGACTGAGAATAGATGACAGCTATGCCCAAAATGAAAACAGTTCCTTTGATGTTTGTCGATGGGCCGACTCTGGATCGGCACAAACCGGCTGGTGACTCGCTTCAAAATTGAAACTGTTCAAAATTTAATACAAAACAGCATACCAGGTGATAGAGCTCGGACAGTTCTACAATCACCAGTAAGAATCGACCGGCTTCGAAAACGGTCTTATGGCCCGGGTCGACGATTTTTGCCCGGCTATTAAATGTAGGCCCGGTTACTGATTTAAATGCTGGTCGATTCTCATTGGAAGCTGTAGATATCGCCGAGATCTATCATCTGGTTTTTTGTGTTGCCCACAATTTCAAATTGGAGCCAAGTTATCAGTCGGCTCGCGCCTGCACAGTATCGGCCTTTACAGCAAGTATGGTTATTCAGAAATTCGGATTTAGACAAAATTATATTTCTCTACCCACTTGCTAGTAGACGGTTCGTCTCAATCTCACGAACAATCAGTTGTTGGTCCTTCTAGACTTATTAGACGTTTCGGGCAGACTCACTTTGTACTCTTTGATTTCTTCTGCTGACTAAGAGAAAAAAATTTTTTTTTGATTAAAAACCAAGTATTCTAGTGTAGTTTGCTCATGAACTCAGATTCTCACACTTTCTTCGTTTATCATAATTGAAATTCGAAAAATTAGAATCTCTCACTTTTCAGTTTCCTTGACAACTGTCAACGCATTTCGGAACCTGGATACCGACCGAACGATCAGGATATTCTCTACTCTCGAGTGGCCACTACTGGTGTCGTAGAAGTGAAATTCAAAATTAAGGAACTCGACTTCCGGTTTGTTTATTTTTCATCAATTTCCATTTTTTGATTTCTCATTTTTTCTTCGTTTTCCTAGAGAGCCATAAACAAAATTGACGATAGTTCTAGCCACTCTCCAAGGCAACGCCATAAATTTTTTGATGATGATGGCAATTGAATTTGTATTGAAAAGAAAAAAGATTACGACTAGAAGAAAGAAGAGAGAAAGAGAGAATTCCATTGAGAATGTACTCTTCTGAAGAACATTATTTCAGTGTGTTCGATGTCGGAGGTCAAAGATCTGAAAGAAGAAAGTGGATCCATTGTTTCGATAACGTCGAATCGATTATCTTCATCACTGCCATTTCAGAATACGATCAAGTTCTTTTCGAAGATGAAACAACTGTGAGTAACTGATGAATCACTTTTCCACTAACCTCGTTTAATTACCCCATGACGTATTCGAACTCAATTATCTTTCTATTTTCAGAACCGAATGATAGAATCAATGCAGCTTTTCAACTCTATTTGCAATTCAACTTGGTTCCTTTCAACCGCCATGATTCTTTTCATGAATAAGAAAGATTTATTCATGGAAAAAATCCAACGGGTCAACATTACGACTGCATTCCCAGATTACGAGGGAGGTCAGAACTATGAGGAAGCCGTCGCTTTCATTAAACAAAAATTCGCTGAGCTCAATTTGAATCCAGATAAAAAGACGATTTACATGCATGAAACATGCGCTACAGATACCAATCAGGTATACATTTTTAGAATTTCGAAGTGGAAAGTAAATTGTTTTTTTTTTCAGGTACAACTTGTCATTTCAAGTGTCATTGATACTATAATTCAAAAGAATTTACAAAAGGCTGGAATGATGTAACCATCAATTTCATTCTTTTTTTTTATAAATTCTTGATTAAACCCTCATTTCATAGGATCCGATTCTCCAAGTAGGATTCCTTTCTTTTCACTTCAACTCATTTTAAAAAATCAAATTTTCCTCAATCAATCCGATTATATGTTATTTTCCATTCTAATATTCTTTAAATTTGACTCTCAAAGCTGAAAATCGGTTTGGTGCTCCTGGTATTTCTTTTCCGATGTTCTCAAAAACCTTACCCCTGATCTTATTCTCACACCAATAAATCTCATCGACTCCCATCATTTCTTTATATTTTCGAATTTTTTCGGATGTTCATTTTCAATATATATTCTGCTTTGTATCCAATGCTGCTTTCTTCGTTCTCTCAAAATTATGAATCCTAATAATTGTTCCTCTTTTTCTATCCGTCTACCCATGCAATTCTTCAAACCGTCTAGATTGTTCTCACCGTTGTCCCATCTTTAATACTCTCATAGTTTTCTTAGCTTTTATTGAACTTTTTATCCCCCATTCCTTTTAAAAATATATTTTGTGAAATTCTTTTGTGTAAATTACGATTGCTGTAAAACATGCTTCAAATAGAAAGGAACAAATAAATGAAATAAACAAAAATTCACATAATAACAAACAGAGCCCAATTAATCTGTGGTACTCAAAACTGCTCAATGCTTAGCCATCCCAGACACCGAAGACGTCGGAAATGAATGCATCAAAGGACCTGATTGACTCATCTTTTATCCATTTTTTTCATCGCTGTTTTTAGTCTGCATGTATCTGTGTTTTTCTGTAGATTTGTATTGTTTTATTCGTTTGCGTTATTCTCCAACCCGGAAAATATATTTATTGAGCCAAACTAGATATTATTTTTCTGCAAAGGAGGATTAAAAACTGGAGTTCTGTCAGAAAAATTTCAAATACAGTTCATATTCCATGTACAGGAGATTTTTCTGAGTTTTAATGGTACTATCGTGCCGCTTTTATGGGCGTCTTCTCTTGCTTCGTCCGCATGGCTCAATATGAAGCAGCGTCGCACCTTCAATACTCGTCCCAAAAGTTCAACTCCTCAAGAGGCTTATATAAAAGAATTTCGAGAAAGTTACTTTTTTTGCATGTCCCCACCATTAAAGGGCCCTACAAGTGTTTCATGATCCGACATGGTCTGATCCGACCATACCAGCTAGATTACTACAAAAACTTTTTATCTTCTTCGCACGTTTACCCATTTTTTCTGCAAACAGAAAAACACCTAATTCAAGGTCATTAATTACGAAAATACAATTAAACAACATCACTTCCTCTATGTTTCATTTTCTCTCTCGGAACACCCGTGGTTTGTTATAAATGAAGGTTAAAAGTTGCGAATTTATCTTGATGAACACACATAAACAACTTGAATGGCTAGTACTGGACGGTACCTAGAACACTCTCCGGTGATTCGTTGAAAATGAAAAAAAGATAATTTGATTAAGTGTGTATACCAGTTAAAATGTGAGAAACAACAGAAAATTGGCTAAGGAATTAGAAAAAAGAGACCGAAGGATCAAAATCAAACTAGGCTACAGTATGCCATCTTGAGTACTCACGGAATATGAGACAGGCTGCCAACATTTCAATGAATTGAGTAGCTCCGTCCGTTCAGTTGGGCTAAAATACCTTACAGTTGAGCAGATTGAACAAAACCTAGTCAATTTGCTTATAAAACGACAGAATTCGTCAGCAAGCCTAGTCCTGAAGATGATCGAAGTTGAGCAGGGCTTGGAAAATGAGATTTTAAAGGACTACTTGGTCTCCAATCAAGAAACATAGAATTCTTCCTATATTTGCCACAGAAACTCTGAAAATTATGATTTTCGTGGGGGGATTTCTTTCAGTGCGAGCTCTCCTAAGAAGTTCGAACTGCAAGCTTTATGAAAAATTTTGGTGTGGCAGGTCTGAATCAAAAATCTTTGCATTTTGAAGCTAATTCCGTCTAAATTGATTAGTGATTTTAGAAACCTAAATGGTCCCCTCCCAGGAGAAAATATTCTCAAAAATGCCAATTTTCTGCAACGAGATAAGACTCATGATCTACCAATTAGCTTGCTCGGTTGTTTTGCTCAGGGACTATTTTTCATGAATCAGCTTCTAAACTCGAAAACAACAAATGCGGATCCAACCACAACCAAAGACCTTTTTACTGCATGTGTCAGCATAAAAATCGTCGAGAACTTACAACAATAACATTTGGAAACTCTTCTTCTTTTTTGGTTATCAAAATGTTTCTAGTTGATGGTTATCAGTTGAAAAACGAATAAGAAGAAACTGGTAGCGTTCCTGTCCTCCACGATACGCGTGGCTACCCGGGTACCGGCCAGCACTTGTCTCCACCTCTCGTAGATCACAAAAATGAGTGGCGGAAAAAACGAATAGACTGTTCGGAGCGTCGACGAACACTGTATGATCTAGAGGAGGGAGAGAGCTCATTGTTTATTTGTTTGTCAATTTTTCAATTTGTGCTCTCTCTTCCCCCGTTCTCTTTTACCAACCGTTCATCATCTGGCTCCCAGTTTTTTCGTGCCCACCACCACCGCCCCAAAGTTTTCATTCGCAAATATTTTGTTTGCAACTTGTTTTGTTTTCTTTTCCAAACAACTCTTGTTGATGATAGGGAACGGAAACACAGAAGTGTAGACACAATACCAGCTAACCGTTCGTTTCTTTTTCAATCCACTTTGATCACTTTCACCCTGGTTTAATTCACTTCTGACCGATAATCTGCCGATTTCGGCAGCCAGGTATTAGTTTTGGAACTTTTCAAAGGTGTCGTACAAGCACTCGAGACAGTTCGGAATCACTTGTAGAGTTCTATCACTGAGAAACCCACTGAGTCACGAGAGGTCTGAAAACTGGATTTCTAACATTTCGAAACTCTTCTTGCTCTTTTAAAATCTGTTTGATCACTTTCTCATTCTTTTAACGTATTCACCATTTGTTCCTCATTCTCATTTTTGATCATTTTTCATCCTTTTTTTTAACGTTTCATATCTCCGATTATCAGCTTACGGTACCTTTTTTCACTCCTTCTTTGACCTTTTGTACCATCCTCTCACCGTGGGAATGAACTTCCCTGTTTCCCGATTTGCCGCCGATGCAACAAGTGCGTTTGCACTCTTGTCGCCCCTCGGACGCTCTTCAATCATAGTACTATTGTCCAAATTGTTTCATTCTCTACGCCTCGTTCTATTTCTGTCCCTAAACGTTTCCTACAGTAAACCGGGAAAAATGAAAAGCATCCGGTAGCATCTTAGGGTCATAGGCCTACTACTGTTGATTGTTTTGTTTACGGAGGGGGCAGCAGAAAAAAGAAGAAGAACAGTTTTTCGACGAAACTGAAACTTTGAAGAGACCGGTTTGATTTGGTTTTCGAGTGTTATTTGTAAAGAGGGGAGGTCAACGGTGATGGTCTAAACCACCGTTCTAGATGCATATCTCTCCCAAGTTCGGCCATTACGAAAGAAGCTTTGATCAGTTCGATATATCAAGTTTATTCCAGATTTCAGATTGTTTTTCGATATTTTCAACCTAGATTCTCCACTGGTATAAATATCTACAAACACAATTCTCTGATCAATCGTTATTCGTCCTCCACATTCCTTATCCACACCAGGCAACACTTTTTGACATAGTTTACAAATTTTTCTTTGTGTCTCTTCGGTATTACTGTAGATTTTGGGACAATATGCATGTATGTTCTTCACGTCCTCAATTTTCTTGTCTTCATTGAAGAAGACCTCCCTTTCTCCCACGACGATGAACACCGGCGCCCCCGCGGGGGGGGGGGGGGGGGGGGGGCGAGAACACTCACTAATAGGGTTACACATAGTTACTCTAGTAACTAATTTCTCTCCGAAACGGATGAACAAACTGACACGGTAACCGTGCAAATCCAAACATTAAAATCCATATAAATCTGTAAAAGCTGGCCTCACGTGAGGCGACTAAACCATCAATAACAACATCCGTGTGGGGTGGCGGATTTCGCTCCAAAATTTGAAGATGTTCCTCAAATAAATAAAAACAAAAACGAAACAAAATGAAATCCGAAAAGAATATCTTCCACCAAAGTTTATGGCTGAGCCGGCCCGATTACTATCGTAAGCCAAACACCTGATAGTGCTAAAGGAACATGCACTCATCCTAAATTGGCCTACGTCCGCTTTTAAATCTTTTCCATCCCGCTACTACAATAAATATCATAATCATCATCATGTTATCTCGATTGTTTTTTTTTGGATGGGGAGGGTCCAACTAGTTAGAGTATTCAGGATTGCGCAACTATCATTCTTGTCCGTCTATAGAGACGTCTTCTGAGATTCTTGTGTCGTTTGTTCAATCTTGATATATCTATATCGCATCAGATCCACAATCATCACACAATGCCGTTGTAGAAGAAGTCGTCGAATGGCAAATGTTTTGTTTCTTGCTTGTTTGTTCTCTATCCTGTATATCTTGAATCTTCTGTATCCAAAATGTGGTAAAATTCATTAAATGTTATGATGATTTCTTTCCCGTTTCGAACCAAAGTTTTCTCCTTATATTCTCGTCCCCGGTTAATCATTTTTTCATCAAAAAATGACCTGAATGTGGGGGGACATTCGATTGGCCTTCACTAATTTGGTTTGTCTCTTAGTGACTCCTCCCATTTACTTAGAAGTTACTTCTTTTTTACAATTCTCACTTTTTTCCTCTTCGACCCCACTCACTCCCTCCTTCTGACCACTCCACATAGTTATGACAACCGTCCAAGACATAATTGACCTCCTTTCTAATTCCTCTTTTTTTCTTAAAAATGAGCTTCCTCTTTTTGTTAGAGTTTTAAATAAAACCTTGCGCAACATTTGTAATCGGTTGAATAATAAAATCTCGATAAGCGAAGACCGTCCGAAAAGACACGAACGACAGTTAAGTCTTTTATGGTTGTAATAGATTCCAATCGCCAAGATGCAAAAAATATACTGGAAGTCGGGCGATTCATTATGACTAGGTCTACTTGTTGCTTGTCTATTTTTCATCTGTTTTTTTTCTGTTCACCTGTGCAATTTTTGTATTTCTAAAGTTGCTCATTGCTTGGAATGCTCGTAACACTTCCGTATTCACTTCTATCTACTATCTTGATGTTCTTCCTGTTTTTATTCTGATTTTACTTTTAGTACTAGGTCAAACATACTGAAACCTCCTTTTTGTGATAATTCAACACAACAAAATTCTGTCTTGACACCGACTGGTACCGAACAACACAAAACAACCAACAATTTACATTACTGTTTGGTTTTGTCTGTTGCTCCAAGTATTTTGATTTCTTCCGGATGCTCCTCTCACTCATTCCAACTTTTTTATGAGCTTAGGTTGGGACGCTCAACTTTGTAATGTTCCTTTTATCATACTATTGCTGAAATTCGTTTTTCGAGAGTAGACAAAAACCGGAAATATATTAAACCATCCACTATTTTTAGTATTCTACCGTATTCCGTTTTGAGTTTTAATCCTAGTTTGTATTCAATATGAAACGAGATGTTTTATTTTTGTTTTTTGTTTTCCAGACAAATAAATTTTGTATAAACACTTTCACTTTCAGAATAAACATCTGCTAGGTCTGGAACTGATAATTCAACTATCATTTTCAAGAACAGGCGGAGTTTCAAACTCATTTCCACTTTTGTATATTTTTCGTTGTCTCTCTTCCGGATACTGTTACCTGAATGTTGTGAAGTGTTCCATCTCAAACTGCGCATGTCCGTTTTTCTCTCCATTTTTTTTATTTGTTGTTGTTTTGTGTGTACCGTTTTTGTTGAATAGGGATGAAGAAGGAGAAGAAAACCGACTGTCTCTAATATTCAGTACACTTGCAATCCGCATAGTCTGCTTGCTGCTCCTCCTACTTTCCTCGATGTGTTCGTTTCGTTTTTTTCTCCAATACAGTCCTCTGCAAATAAACAAAAATACGTCAGGAGGTCTGATTCGTCGATTCCCGATGATCTTTCGTAGAATTTCATCGTGTCTGGAGGCTCTCTGAGCCGAGCCGGCCACAACAAAATGCAAAATTTCGGACGGACTGTTTTGGGTGTGCTCCTCCTCCTTCTTCACCTAAACCCGCATGTCTGTGGTGTTCCAATTTAGAACCAAACTGAACACAACAATAGCACTTTGAGTGCTCTTCCCCTGATCCCTCAGTCTTCTTCGTTATATCACTTCATCCAAATATTATTCATCTCCTCATAAGTTTCCTCCTGACAGTTACTACAGTGTTCCAAGTGCTCCCGAGATTCCAGCCTTATTTCCAGTTTCCAAATATTTGCTTATACTCAGGTACACACAACAACAATAAACAATTTTTTGCTAGGAGAGACTGTCTGCGAGAGTTCCGTCTTTGCTTTTTCCGGATTGTGCTCTTCTCTGTTCGATGGGGCTCTTCTGGGTGGTCTATTCTGTACAGTTCCGATGATTCTTCTGAAAGTTCTGGGTCTACTCTCTGTTGAAATGTATTTGACTGTTTCTAAAACAGTTAATTATTACATAATTCCAGACAAATCCTATTTCCTCTTTTCTCTCTTCTCTCTCCTCTTGCCCATTCATTTCTTACTTTCATTGGAAACATTTTCACTGACTGAATTACCAGTTCTTCTTCCTCTCTCTATAGTCTTCGAGAGTGTGAATTATTCCCGGTCTTCGTCTTTTTTCTTCGAGATATATCGACACGACACACCTTTACTGGAACCATCGAAAATGACATAGTGATCAGCATGTTACTACATTTTCATTGTCTTTTCACTTCTTGAAAGATTTCCTCTCGTTCGGTTTTACACTCATTTTACTCTTTTTTCCAAATCGAATTCTTTAAACTTCCTACTGTTTCAGAGAATGGTGGCGGATGTGATGCGTCAGAGTCAGTTATCTACATCATTCCCGATGTTTCCATCTATTGCAATAGTTCCACGATACCCACCAAAAGTCAAAGAATGTGAGTCATGAATTAGTTGAAAATCTTGATGGTGTATTTTCAGATCAGAAGAAAATATATTACTGTCAACGGTGCCTCAATCATAATAATCCGAGGCCTCGGAAAAATCATAAAGTAAAATTTGAAAATATTTCTTGAACCTCATTTTTCTGTTCAGTGTGAATGTCCCTATGCAGACTGTACATGTGAAAAATGCCAATTGGTTGAGAAGCGGCGAATCTTGAATATCCGACTTCAGAACTACAATACGCCCAATGAAAATCCAATTGAGAGTGATTTCGATAGCAGCCTTTCAATAGATGACGATGATGATAAAAAATTAAAAGGAGGTTAGTTAAACAAGACCCCTTGCTTTATTTTCCATCACTAACTCTTTAAAATATTGATCTTGGAGCCAAGATCAAAATTGTTTTCAATTGGTTTCCAAATCCCTCGAATTTGTGTTTCGTATAGTCACCACAAATCTTCGGTTTTTGTTTCGAAATAATTGAAAATACACGATGTCTTGAGGTAAAAAAGCTCAATACATTTTTCTTATCACAAGCTTTGAATGAGTCAGAAAAATAGAAACTTGTAGGAGAAGAAGAAGAAAAAAAAGGACTTTATGAAAATGTATAAGTTAACAAACAACAATTTCGAATCCAATTTTCTTTGAGTCTGACTAATATGCACTATTATGTCTAGTGAAACAACAGAAAAACATCGTGATCTACTTTGAAAAATAAAATTGAGATCTTGGGTTGAATGTACAGTTTGGAAAATCTTTCGAATGAAACATTTTTGAAAACAACTTTTCTTGCTTGAAAAAACTTTTTTTTGAGATGTTTAGAGGTCACATACAAACCAAAAAGGAAGACTTTTAGTAGTTATTGCACCAAAATCCTTGAAAAGTTATATATTTACCTAATATTATTACAAAAAAATGCAAAAAAAAAAAACAGAAATCTCCGAAATCCGTTGAACGTTGCCTAAAAAGAACGTTGTCTAAAATGTATTAAATATTGCAAATAGGAACTGACGATTTGAATACCTGCACAGTGAGAAACCTAGGCCACTGTGGCAAGCCGCCTTTTATGGGTGGCCATTTTTTGGACTTTTTCCGCTTTTATCTTTTAGCCAAAACTTAAAAGAACTCCTGCCGCCGTGGCCTAGGGTTCTCACTGCGCGGGAGCTCAAACTCTCGTCCCTCTTCGCAACATTTTTTTGCAATTATTTTTCTTCCAGCGGCGTTATTCGGAGGATTTCGGATTTTTTAGATTTTTTTGTAATAATATTAAGGAAATACATAACATTTTGGTCGGAGTCCCCCTTCAATCGAGAAAAAAATTTTCTTTCACAATCTTTGAATATCCCATAATCCTAATTTCCGTTGCTTCAAAATTAGAATTGACAAGCTTCGAACTTTCGAGAATTTGTTTTGTTGACGAAACATGAGTTTTTGTTTGAATATTGTTTCCCAGACTGGATTAAATTAGTTGACCAGCAGCAGCCGGCGGGATTTCATGAACATTGAACTAGAGTGATCGGTTCATTTCCTATACCTTTCAGCTAATGTTTCTCTAGTCCCCACATGAGTTTCAATTTCCTTTATCTCTCCCCTAAAACCCCCAAACACTTTAAATTTCCTGTTGAGTTTATCTTCCAAAAAGAAATGGTCGTCGTCGTTCTTTTTTCTTTCTTTTTCCTATTTTTTCTGGCTGAAATGTTTTTTACGAGACTCGACAAGTAATTGGCAAACATGTTGAGCAACATTTCTTTACTTCGTCTTCTTCTTTTCCAGTGGACGACGTTGTCGTCGTCGTTGTCCGAAGCGCTTGAAAACAAATAATTTGGAATGCATGAGGTGTCGGAGGAACGCAAATATGCGTGCGTTTTTCTGGAGGAAAAAGAGAAAAAGTTTCAGCGATCAGGAACGACATAAATTAGGCGGAATGCTGAAAAACAAGATATTTATTTTTCTGGCGAAAAAAATTGCACAGCGAAGAAACAGAAAACTATTTTAATGAACGTTAAAAAGAAAATGCGAAAAATGTAGAAGATGCATCAGAAACGTTGAATAGTTGCTAATTCAATAAGAGATTCTCTCGATCTGAAACAATTTAATGTTCTGTGGATTCCATAAACTGGCAATAGAGGCACTTGGGTCTGTCTCTTTGAGAACATTTTCCCCCGATTTTTCTTACCAAAATGAAGGGAAGAATGCCTCAATGGCATTCAAAACCTTGTATTTTTATAATCTTTCGGTTAAAAGAGTTGTTTCCACAAGTGCGAATACAATCACATTCAGAAGACAATTTTTAAGATTTTTCGTTAAAATTTTTCCCAGAAAGCTGAAATTAGGATTACCGTATACTCCACCCTATAGACCACCCTATACTTGCACTTTGAGCTCAATTATCTCAATTTCTATGCAAAAATGAGTCAACTGACAAAATTTTTGTCATAATATCACCAACATTTTATCAGTTGACGCATGTTTGTTATCTTTTATGGAAATTGAGATAATTAAGCTTAAAGAGCAAGTTTAGGGTTGCCTTCTATAGGAGTGTTTACAGTACTTTTCATCCAAATTTTCGGTACCCAATATTCCATTCCAATTGCCTAAACACTGTTCTCCGTGATTACTCAAAAGTCCATCTGGATATTTGAAACCCCAACTTTGCACTTTTTGCGCCACAAAGCTCAAAAATAAGGAAACATGATACTTGCAAGTTGTTTACGAGATTCTCATACAACTCATTTCTACAGCACTAATATTTTTTCATCCAGTAATTCATTTGCCATCATGATTCCCTTATTCATGTTTCAAGATACTTCGTTTTACTCTGATAGTGAGCCGAGATTCCTAATTGCCTTCCAAAAAAGTGAGTTGGTTTGAAAGAAATATTAGTTCCTTCTATGAGTAAGAATTCATATTTAACAATTGGTTACAGTCAACGTTTATCTTTTGTTTTTCTTTGAGTCACTTTGATACTAATTCCCCTTCGAGAATTTCTTTTCTGACGTTCAAAAATTATTGGATATGCGTAATTGTTCCCTGGGACGGCTTCCTCGTTTTTTCTCTGAATTGTTCTCGTTATTATTCAATCGGTAATCTGATATTGAAGAAAAAAGTCAGAAATGACTTGTTGTAAATGTGTTTTCTGTTTATGTCTGTCTCAGATATAACACAACAGTCAGCCGATTGTGATAGCTCACAGATCTCTGTTACCAACTGCAAATCTATTCGATTCAGTTCCTGTTTAAATGCAAAAAACAGCAGTTAGCCAGTCTGATTTTTCATACCCCCAAATTCTCGGAAGAAGAAAAAAACTGCCAAGTAGTCAGTCATAATAGTTGCACACGGGTCTCTCAGAAAAGGAAACAAAAGTGTTTGTCTGTTGTGTGTGAAACTATATAGTTGATTTGTTCGTCACTCATTGTTGTTTACGACGTGGCACTTTGCAAAGAGACCCCAGAAGAACTCTCTTTTTTTGAAATATTCAATTGGATGGACACACAACAAATATAGGCGGCCTGGAAAAAAAAGAGAAAAAGGAGTTCGAGAATTGTTTGTTGCTCGAAACGTTTGACACTACATTGACTTGGCGTCCATCCAGTAGTAGCAGATGTAAATAACAACAACAATTATTGTTATTATTATTACTACATGTGTGACTTTTATGTCTATTGAATCCATCATGTTTAGAGAGAAAATCCGTCTGATGGACATTGACTACTAAAAGATCTGAATCTGAAGTAACGAAGAACATCGGAAAAAATAGAAGACGTCTGTGTGCATTTTTGTGATCTCAAATTAGTATGGCTCAGGGGGAAAAAAGTAAAGTAATGTTTGTTTGTTTGTTGTTGAGAGCAACTCGATATTTCTGCTTTAGACAACTGGAACAGCAAAATAAGGTGTGAGAGACAAACCGAACGGAGCGAATATATTTAGCAAGTTTTTGGTTTTTTTCAAAAGGAAAAATGTATATATTGTTTTAAGGCAGAGATATACTGGAAATTTTTATTAGTATTTGGGAAGTTTTGGTTTTTCGGACGGAAATAGAATTGATGTGGCACACTGGAACTTCTTCTGGATACGATTAGCCGAGGATTATCTCCCTTTATTGTTTAAAGTTTCAACGCCGTGTGACAAAGTGAGGTTGCTCCCTTTGTGAGTCACCCAAAGTCTAGACTATTTTTTGATAACAGTTGCTTTTTTTTGAAATTTGACACTCTCAAACAATACTAATCCGGAAAACGAAGTTTTTTCACAAGGGGAGACATTTTGAAAATGAGGAAGACCTTGAAAAACTAATATCCGTTCCTTTTGAAGGTAGAAAATGATTAAAAAAGCTTTCCGTTTTGTACTTCTAAAGTTTCCGGTGATCGACGAATTCTGAATCCGAACTTTCATAGTTCTTGAGGCTCCTCAAAAACTACTTCCTCATTTTCGACTTTTGATATTTTCCAACAGTTTCTTCAGACTTCTGAATCCAAGTGGGAATACTTGGATTAATAATCTCTAAACATTCGTAGAGATATTTTCAAAAAGTGTGGGAAATCCTTGTTAGACATTGTTTTGATGTACTTGGCCGAACGAGGGAAGTTCAGAGTGAAACCTTGATGTGTGGGAAGAATGACACTCTCCTGAATCACAGACATTTCCCCAGTTTCTTGTGACATCATCCAAAGGAAAGTGTCTCCATCTTCTTCTTTTCCAGAATAAAAGCTCTCATGTCAGTTTTTTGTGTGTGTGCTCATTGACCCTTCCGGCTCCCTCAATAACTTCTCACATATCAAAAAGTTGCACAGAAGTCGAATGTTCCAGTCTACTATTGTTTATCTGAATCTCACAACGTTATATACAAATTCTTATGTTCGCCGTCGAGCCCGATTGTTGTTGTTTTTTGTATTTAGTAGTGTGTTGCGAGATGGAATTCCGCCCGATTTTTGACGTGGCGCCTACTCTGGAAACGGCTACTAATCGAATTTCAACACAGACATTTTGTACATTTTGATAATGTTTTTGGCTAGATTTTGAAATCGCTCTCTCCACATCTAGAAACTCAAATTGGATAATTAAATCAGAGTTTACGAATCGAATCAGAGTTTTTCAAGTGCGTTCAGATTCTTGGCTCGTTTTTCCACAAGAGTCTCATTACTCCTAACAAACCTCCCAGTTTTTTTCATAAAAGTTGAAAGTACAGTAATCCATTTTTCTTTTGCTGTTTCCTAGTTTTGTCTCGTTCCGGAAATTGAAATCATTTTGATATATCTCCAACATTATACATCCTCCTTCCTGCTAATTGAAAAAAAAACCATTCGCACCTCTTCCCACTAACTTCAAGCTTGTTTATTGTTGATGGATGAAATCCTAATGTGGTCAAGGAATTTCCATTGGGACCGTGCGAACGTTCGGTACCGGTCAATGTGCCATCCTGTTTCAGTCGGTCCCAATAACCCTTTTCCACCAAATTATTCATGTTTTCTTTAGAGTCCTCTGCTAATTGAACAATAACAACATGGATCTCCTGTAGCAATATTTGCTCAAAAAATATTCCCAAAACGGAACTCTTGTGTACCTGGTAGAGCCATTCATTCTGCAACCAACTGATGACCAGACCAAAACAATAAATATATGAACCAATTCGAGATGTATTTCGGTGTATTTTCGTGTGAAGTCAGTCTACCCGAAATCCCATCTAGCAGTATCATTACTACTTTTCAACAAATAGAAGAATTGGACACGAAAATAAAAATATCAAGAAATCCTATTCACTCACTATATACATTTTGTATAGACTTCTGAAGATGTAAAGTTTAGCGTAATCCCCGTCTCATCTGAAACAATAACCCAACTAGCGGGATCTTATGAGACAAGAAGTTGTATCTAATCTCACGCTTCTGGATTAGAAAATGAACATAGTACTGATTCTTTTGAACTTATCGGATGACGATAACCACCCATTGTTTTCATAAATGTTTCATGTGGGAGGAAAATTTGGAATCTTCTGGATTCGTATGATCTCCATGGTGACAAATACGTGATGTTGTGAGAGACAAAGTTGAAAGTTTCAGGTAAAGGAAAATAGTTTTTAATGTCTGGAGTTTACCCCTTTAGCTCCATGACTTACGATTTCAACGATTGTTACATCATAAAACCTGTAATAGAAGGGCCCCTTACTTCTAACTTTGAGCCAATTTTTCTCGGTTCTTTTCAAAGTCATGGAAAAGTTGTCATCTGATGAATTGTTTATCATGAAGTATTTTGTCAGTTGACACATGTTTGATATCTTGCATAGGAGCCAAGGAAAATTAGCTCAAACTTGGTAGTTTGGGCCCTTCTATTACAGGTTTTACGGTATAAAAAAAACTGCCTAACTCACTCCATTCGTTATCTGAAATCCTGACTCGGGACGAGCCATGTTTCTGATGTTGGAATGTCAAAGATCTCATGAATATTTCACCCATTCTGACAGCCATTCCCAAGTTCAAGCCACAGTCCTCTCAGACATGAAAGTTCATCTTTTGTCTTTTGAAGAAAAAAGTTTTTGCTTTAGTCACCCCAAAACAATTTGAGAATGCTTTCAGTGAATGAGCCCTATTCATTCCCAACACATTTCCAGCACCACCCAAACCTTTTTCAATTCCTACTCATAACAAAAGAGCCTCAGGGCTTCAAACTACCGAACATAAAAAAACATGTTTGACAAGTTTTTGGTGCCAAATCCGTTTCCTGTGTATACTACTAAATTTTCCGAAGTTGTTTCCTTCTTCGTTCGCTTTTCTTCTTCTGGTGGCCGTGTATTCATGTTTCGAAAAACACTTTGGAAACTTGTCAACTTTTTTGTGTTCCGTTGAGCGAGCACGTCTTCTTTTTTCTGCTTCTTGCAGTCTGTCCGTCGAACGGACGGGGCGAAAACAAATCTGGAATTGAATGCTCTCAAGGATTTCAATATTGTTTGGTGGCCGGAGAAAAACCTAGAATCCAGAGGAAAACTTTCTTTTATTTTCCAGCATACAATATGAATAATATAATGATTATATAATAATAAAGTTGGCTGTGAAAAGGAACGAAAGTCTCAACTTTTTCTTCGGAAAAGAATATATATCCAATTGTTCCGTTTTCAAGAAAAAAAAGTAACACAAAAAAGTCTTTGAATGTCAAATCTGAAAATGAGAACGTTTGACGACAATGGATTAGAATCACAGTGAACAAAACCGATGATCTTGAAATTGTTAGTTGACTCTAGGTGTTCACGGAAGTTGGAGTTGGAAACCATTGGTAGAAATCGAACGGGTTTCATTTGAAAACTCTCTGTAAATTTGTCTTCGATAAAAACAAACTCGTCATACTTTTAATGCGATTTGGATAGTCAGGTCTTCATGTCAGAACACTTTCCATGTCCCGAGTTAAAGTTTAAACAGGTTATAGTCTAGATTCTGAAAATCGCATGATAAGATTGGCGAAACTCTTCTATAACCCGCTTTGATGTCGAGACAATCCGATTACATAAATGACACAATCTTTCAAGTATCTTGAAATCGAAATCCAGCGGATCCTTCACGAGACTTAACTGTCTTCTTCGAACGAGTCTAGAAGATTTTTTCGTTCGGCATACATATAGTTAGCTTAATATCTGGAATTGTTGTTATCATGTCTGAAATCTGAAAATCCAAAAACATCCATTCCAAGTAGTCTTTCTTGACTCGCACCCCCTAATCCACATGACAAGTACATTCTACAGTACTGCCTTCTTCTGATCTCTTCTCACTTCTTCACAACACACCTCCAATATCCAGTTGTTTTGATATAAAAGGGCATGCTGAAAGAGCCCCGTTTCCATGTTTTTGGATTAGAAAATAAAAAAAGTTAACAGTGTCTTGTGGCCAATCAATCAGGTGGTTTTAATAAGGAAACGAACATTTTGTTGAGTGTCACTTATCCGGATAGAAAGATTTCATGGAAATCGTAGTGGTAAACAGATTCTGAAAACTTTCGAGTGAAACAGACACTTCACGAGTTATTCATTGGTTTTTCATAATTATCAAATAATCTTACCCTCGAGTTGCTCATTGATCAGATACTTTATATGTTCATGAAACTTCTGAAACCTATAGGTTATACTTGTTCATCGTTTCCATAGATAATCCTTTTCTTTTTCCCATTCTTCATCTGAAACTGATCTTCCAACTTGTCTTGTCTACCTGCCACTTCAAGCTCTCGGCTTCTTCTAGTCGAAGCTCCGCCTACCTTCAGCTCGTGTCGAAAAGTGAGATAGTGTTAATTCGACGGAGAGACTACCCGACAAATAAAGATCAAAACATTCAAAATAGTATAAAGTGGGCGTGGCCTAGTCGGATATGAGAGCGGCGAAGGGGGAGGAGAAACAGAGCGAGAGACCTCCCCGCGGCGCTATTTCGAAAAACAACCTCCCCCAGCACACACGTTCGTCCGTTCATTGTGAGAAGCTCATTGTGGGTCCCTTTGTCCCAAGCTCTGTTTTTTTTAATCTTGCATTTTCTCTCTCTTCGCACTTTGACCTCCTTCTGAAGTTTAAAGTCTTCCTACCTCAGCCATGACACAAATCGGTCTCTACCCTGCTGCGCTTACCAAACCATTCGAGTTGTCGTTGTCAGCCATCAAGTCTGTATTGGAACCTGAAAATCCATCATATTCAAGTACTAACCTATAGTTTCTTTCCATCATTTTTCTCAATTTTTTCATTTCCAGAACGAGTTCCAAACTGTCAAAAATGCGGTCAACACGGTCGCAAGTCTCGTCTGAAGGGACACAAGAGGTAGGTCACCGTACTATTTGCTTCTAGATATTCCAGCTACAAAGTCTTATTTTCAGAAGCTGCCCGTTCCGCGAGTGTCCATGTGCAAAGGTATGTCTCTAACATGAAAATAGTTTCTTCCTCTTTTGTCTCTGAATAATAGAACCGGGGTGGGGTTGGGGACGGAAAACGACTGAGTGGTGGAAAAGTGTAATTTGAGAATTGTGTTTTCGTAACTCTGAACTGGTAGATTGGTAGAAGAAAACACCGTTTGTCTACTATCTACTATCCAATTCTATCCTAAATTCACATATCTCAAACATTGCGCTTCAGCTTCTTGATTGCTTTGAAACATACTTTTGGCTCACGGGATTAGAGTAGCACGCGGCGGCGGTGGCGATGAGAAAGTATAAGAGCGCATGTTTCACTTATTAAAACTAATGAGATGTTTCTCTTAAAAGCAAGAGTGTATATGCTCTTTTGCACATTCTGCTACTTAGTTGTAGACTTTTTATAAGAAGCACATTTTATGTTTCTCGTATATCGGAAAGGGAAGTGTTTTGATATACCTAGTTAGGGAGGAAATTGTCTACAATTTCATCATTCGAATATCTGAAATTACTAGTTTCACTCGTGTCCTGAACTCTTGTTTGGCCAGCCTATGCGAATACGTTTCAAAAGCTAAAATGCTACAAGACCAACTAAATGATCGCCTTCGTGACAACCAATACAGACATACAAACCCCATAATTTTCTACGAAAAACGTAGTTGAAGATCGTTGGTGACAAGTCGTTTGGCGAGACATACAAAAAAACAAAACCTTTTCGACTGATAACTTAATTTCGCAACATAGAATTCGGGAGCGCGTGTTCTGATTCTCAGCTGTCTGTTGCAAGTGGTGTTCTCGTGGATTAATCATCAAAACATTCATCGTGAGCTTGTCGACGACGTCTTCGAAATTGAGCCCTCTTCTTCTTATGAGTCAGAGAGTTTCGGTGATCTTTATCCCAAATCCTGAAACTTTTAGACATGTCTAGGCAGTTGTTCTCTGACCGCGGATAAGAAAAAAAGAAACACACTAAAAGTGTCGGACTCGAAAATTGCAAACATGTTTTGCTGCTCAGCTGACCCCTTCCGTCCGGAAAAATTGTGTTTCCCCCCAAATGCTTGAATGAGGAGAAGAAGAAGGTTTATAAAAAAATATACGAATCATCATCGTTTCCATCTTGACATCAGTAAACAAAATTGTGCTCCTGGAAAGGAATACTGATTCATTAGAAAAGAAGACGTTGATTTTCAGCGACATTCCACACGTCCTCTTATGAACATTTTTGCTCTAAATTGTTTATCCAATGGCTACTTTCTTCTCCTTATACGAAAATACATAACTTTTCTGGAAAGTTTTAGCCGAAAACAAGGTATCAGCTGATTAGGGTACTTCCTCTTTCTACCGTTCAGCTGTTCCCAGGAAGGAAATAAAGGAAACCCCATATCCTTATCCTTTCTCAATTGGAACATTTATGTTTGTCGTGAAAACACCGCCTGAATTCATATCACAATTTCTTGGAAAGGTGCTCACATTTTATGAGCTCGTCATCAATTCGCGGCTCTCGTCGCACGAACCAAAAAGAAAAAAGGGGAAACTGGGAAAAACAAAAAGTACACAGCGAATTATCCAGAAGGCTATACAAAAAACACCAAATTATCATCGCACCTTTCCTTCATATTTCAAGGGATTTCTAATCTTGAAAAGATAGGGTAGAAGCAGTAGATGTTTGCCTTCAATTGTAGAACTAAGTTTGATCAGCCTTCGTTCCCCTTGTTCGAATTTCACAGAACATAAACACTTTTGGATGTTTTCGACATTTTGACGAAGGCGGCAATGGTCCTCTCGATGAGAAACGAGGATTAGATTGTGTGGTGCCCTCTTTTTTCCTCCTCCCTCACATGTTCCCTTCAGACTCCGGGCTCAGAAGTTTTTGGTTGTTTTTCTTAAAGAGGGTGTCTGAAGATTTAGAGGGAGAGGGTGAGGAAAGAGTAGGGAAATGTGTAAAGTCAGGATGAAAAATTGGAGTGTACTCAGTTCTAGGTCAATACAATTCTCTTGTACTTTCATATCAGAATCCACTCACTCAGTCTGTATTAGTTAAAAACCGATCAACTGTTGTTTCTGAAATCAAACTCCAAAACTAAAACCCTAATCTCAAAAATTGTATTTTCAGTGTGCCGTTGTGACTGAGCGCCAGAAGCTCATGGCTGATCAGATCAAGATTCGTCGTCGTCAACGAAAGGATACATTGATGAACTTGACAAGAGAACATATCACATCCACTATCAATGCAGCGGCTGCATTCTCAAACAGTCAGATCAGCCTTCAAAGTTTGAATTCATTGCTCTGTAAGTTACTGAATGACTGATATCGTACCTCTATTGTTTAGTATTTCCAGATGGTTCTATCAAGGCCTCCCCTCAGCCACTGCTCTCTTCGCCAACGTCATCGGATGGCTCATCGTACAGTCCATCTCTACAATTCCCATCTCCACCAATTCCTATGATGATTCCAACATCAGCGGATCACTCGCCAAACTCCCAAACCCCAACTTCAATTGCCACTTCAATTGCCTCGTCGACACCAATCATGGCACCTCTTCCGATGACGGCGGCAGGTTTTCCATTCATTGGCCTTCCACAACAACAACCAGATACTACTCTTCTGATCCAAGCCCTTCTGGATCACTACAGACTTCTCGAAGAGGCAGGCAGTATGTCGATCTCTTCAAGTCCATCTAAAGACGATGACAGTGGTGATGAGGACAGCGATGGACTCAACTCAAATGCCATAATTGATGTCTGCACAGTCTGATTCATTTCCCATTTCTCCCCTCCCGTGTTTTTGCTGTATAATTCGAGGACTTTTACAAATTTTATGTCTGTCCCGCGCTTCTGTCTCTTAATTTTCCTACTCAATCTACCCACGTTTCGACACACACTTCATCCCACACCTCGATTGTGATTATTCAGCACTTTGTGATTCATATTATCTTCTTGTGGATTCATTTTCTTAACTATCAATGTGTCTACCTCATGACCATCTCTATTCCTTTTGATTACCTCTATTACTTCTTCCTATCTACCTCTTCTTCATTCTCTTTTGACCTCTTTCTCTTCCCTTTCCTTTCCTTCTTCTTTCAAAAACCATCCACACCCCGAACATCTCCGTAGCATATATACTTCAACTTTCAACAAGAAAACAATCTTAATTATCCCGAATTTTTCAGTTCCCCGTTTTTTCAATTCTTCCCGATTATTTATTTGTGTCTACATTCATTCTACTTTCTTTCCCAAATTCCCCGTGTCTGTGAATATTTGGCTAATTACAAAATTTCCGAAATAGAAATTTTCATCATGTTCAGAACTACTGGCCGTTTTGCTAGAATTACACCGATCCTTTATATAATTTTGTCCTCCGATTCAGTTGTTCACATATCGTTCTTGTAGTATTTCCTCATCTTTCTCTTTCTTTCATCCCAACGTTCTTCTGCCAAATCAGCTGGAGTTCTCTACAGAATGCGTCATTTTCCAAGCCCCACCACCTGTTCATTCATTGTATTCATTGTATCATTCAATGTATGAATAATGCCGAAAATTGTGAGAATAAATTGTGAATTATCAGATCAGCGAGAGAAAAACTTTCCGAGAAGTATGGCTCGAACAAAAACACTCGTCCATTTGAAATGAAAACACTAGCCTTCCGTTTTTTTTCAGTGACAGACTGCAATTAAATGACACCAAACAACTGTGATTCAGAATTCAGAAAGTAAAAAAAACAAGGAACAAAATGAGCGAAGTTTAGATATTTCAGATGTCACAGAAGATCGAGGTGGATCGGAATACAGAAGTACATGTGTATCTGTTCCAATTAAAAATGTGTAACACTTCCGTGTAAGTTTTCTTCTTTGAGTTGTGTCTCTATTTTGTTTTCTTCCTGAGATCGTTGCTCGACCGAACGGGATGGAGAGAGAAAGTGGATATGTTCGTGTAGAAAAAAAACGAGAAGGAAATTCTAGGAAATCTCGCCACTTAATTCTTGTTTTCAAGACATCGTCGCCATCTCCATCGTCTTCTGTTCCTTCTCAGCATTACCTTCTGAATACTTATCCATTTACGTTATGTACAATACATTTTCCACATGCATTCGATTGGCTCAGTGTGTGACAAGCTCCACCTCCTTCCGGCTTAGTTTCCCGAGCTATATCGTTGTTGTTGAAGTGAGGAAAACGGGGCTAACTTATGGCTTAGAAGATCTAATCAGTGGGAATATTGCAAGGGATTCGGAACACATATGATGACGGGTGATGAGGAAACAATATTTTCTTGCAAACTTGTTTTTGATCCTGATATAATCGGCAATCGGGAAGTGTCTGACTGTGTGAGCACAAATCTCAAAAAGAGGGAGCAAGAAGAAATATTTGAAAACAAAAATCACTCGAGAAGTCGAACTTTTTGAACTGAAGAGATGGGCATACAGAAGAAGTATACTAAAAAAGAAAACATGTTTAAACTGCATGCTGAAAGTGCAGGATCATTACCAAACTGAAAAATCTGAAAAATCTGAAAATCATTCGTTAAGAACACCTAGGTGTTCTGCAGAACATTCCATGAAACATCTTGGTCAAAACATGCCTCATCTTATGACTCCCAAAGCTCCACAACCGGTCTTATGACGCTTTGTTTCATTTTTCACAAAGCTTATCCAAACTGTACTTTAAAGAACCATGACAGCTGTTGACCCACTCTTTCAGTTTCACTGTTTACTGCAGATCACTTTCTGAAATGAGTGAAATCTGAATCTCTGGATTACCGAGCACGTTCCCGTTTTCGAACAATGACGTCGGTTATGTAAACCATGTGCCAAAAACAGATATCGTGACGTTTCGGTCAAAACACACACTGAAAAAGGCTCCTGAGAAAGTTATTAGAATTTTCAAAAGTACGATAAGTTCGATGTTGTATTGACGAAAGCTCGGATTGTGTTTTTCGGAAGAAAAGTTTTCCGGAAACGTACTGAAAACAAGCTGTCTTGGTAACGCTTATGCATAAATCGACGATTAGGTTCGTTTCAAAGTTTTAAGATCTTTGAGATGTCTCTCCCATAATTCTGGGAATTCAGTCATATGGCTCGGGAACATCTTCGGAATGCGAAATAATGAATGTCTCATCATCGAAAAACATCCGAGAATCTCAATTTCTGGATTGTTCTTTTTACTTTTCTTCCTTTTTCCAGCCATCCCGGGAAAAAAAGTTTTTTTGAATGAGATCCTGAAGAATAGCAATTAGCATTCGGTGTAGAAGACTGCCTGCATCCGAACGTCGTCTCGTTTCTTTCCGCTTAAATACGTGTGTATGTGCATTCATTCAAAATTTCGCTCGTATTTTTTCATTCAAAACAATATAAAATAATTCTGTTCTAGGGACTACTGAATTGTCAGGATACAGAAAGACATGGATGACTAAGCCAATTCGAATATTGTTGTTAGACAAAACCAGTCAATATTAATAGTTTAAGAAAGAATGCATGTTTTGACTAGTTGCTCAGAGCTATACAGAATCCCAACAATAGCTATCATTCTGGAATTATGATAGTCATATTTGTTTTCTTTATTTTGTTGAAAAACCAGGAGATTTTCTGTAACAGAGAACGGGGGATGAAGATTTTAATACGGAAGTGTTCGGAGTGATGCTATTCAAAACCGTCATGCATCAGTGGATCAACGTCTTCGAAAATCTTTGAAAGTGACTTTGAAAATTTACAGTTCAGATGCACTATTGGTGTTCCGTTTTTTTTTCTTTTTTCTAGCAATTTTTCGTTTTTAAACCTGCAAGACATCTGGGAATACTCTTTCAGATAACACATTCCATATTCGATTCCTCTGAGAAATGAGATCTTTGGGATCGTGACGTTTTCTCTTTTGCTTTTCGGAAATCTGAAACTTCTGAAAACATGGACAACATCTCTCTCGTCTAGTCGTAAATTCCATCTGTCATCCATGAATGTTTTTCTTCGTTAAACGTTTAGAGCAACAACCCGAACGCACAGAAAACATTTCAAGCACATCAGAAGAGCACGAACTGGAAAACACGAATGAAGAAAAAGAAGAAGGAGAAGAGAAAATGTTGAGTGAAATGGACAGATTGAAGAAACTTTTCGTGGATGAATGTTGAAAACATCGCGATGTGTTGCGAAAAAAAAAGAACAGCTGAGAGGGTGGTGGCGTGCCAAATAGTACGAGAAACAAGTCTGAAAAATTGAGTTTTTGAGAGAAAGAGAAGAAGAGGAGAAGAGGATCCGATGTGAAAAAGAGACGGAACACGGAAATTTTTGAGGACGGGAGGTCTTGAGGATTCAGGGATAGAGGGAAAAGACGAAAAAAATACAGCTGTTTCATTATAGTTGTGCAACTTTAAAAGATGTTTTTCACCCGGAGCACACGACGACAATTGGCAAGGGACTGAAATGTGTTTTTGTGGAAAAAAGAAAGAAAAAAGAATAGCAAACATATAGTTAACTCTTTAGGGCTGGAAATGAAACTTTTTTAGGGATCAGGAATATTCAGAGGGATCTGAACGGGAAGGTTTCTTTTTCAGTCATGGTTCCATTGGCGGCTGGGGATCCTGATTTTTTTCGTTAGGCAGGGGTTTCGGAATTTCGGAATATTCTGGTTTTGAAAGTTTCGGAATTTTGGAATTTCTATTCACAAGAGCGCGAAAAAGGGGGTACGACGAATTCGAACGTTTTCAAATTCGAACAGACCTAAAATCGAACTGATTCAATTCAGAACAGTCTTTTTTTCGCACACGTACCAGAACAGAACGCGGACAGAATCGAACTGTTA